GCATGGGTGGCTGTTGCGGTTAGTCCAAGTCATTTACAGTAGCTAATTAGTATATAGTTTCGCTGGTTCTCGTCTGTGTGTTGGGGGTCTTTCTCTGGGTACTACAATTATTTTCCTTCTTCATTAAAACATAAGCCTTATCACGCATTAATCGTAACTAACTAATCCCAACCGATATTGCAATAAATGTTTATGATTAGATGAATGGACGGAATGCGAATATTTGAGGCTATAGAAACTTACCTGAGAATCGAACATTCGATTATTGTTTCCCCTATTAACGTTCGCTCCATTCAAGCGGTTGTTTGAACCTCTAGGACTGTGTAAAAATGTATCAGCATCGCTCAAGTTCACCAATAGACCTAACAGGGCAAGAATACACAATTTAATAATATGTCTTCAGGTTTCGAATAATAGCACTTCACTGTGCAACTGACGTTCCGAGATGGTTCATTGTAATTTTTTGTTTGATTCAGTCCCTATATATGATCCGTACAAAAACGCATCAGTTAGCAAGTTAATACAATATTTGAAAATAATTAGAATGAAGTTTTGCAGATGAACCAAGAAATTCCAACGCCAATTCTGAAAGTGTTTCTATTTAAAAGAATCAAACACCGATTTAGAGTAATTAGTCATATTTTCCACAATTCCGAACAAAAACTGTGCTGTATTTATTGAGCCAAATTCTAACTAGAATAATATTGCAACTTCCATTTTAATTTTTTGAACCATTAACTTCCGCGTATATAGTGTAACTCGATGTAACCATAGTTAATAGAGGAGATGGTTTGCAAACTCGTTAGCATTACAATAAACCTCACTATCTATGTTTTTGTTCAGGTTTATGCAAAAATGTGGTCTTTCATCGTCACGTGCGTATTGTATTTTTGCTCAACCAGCCAATAGCAACGGCTTTGTCCAATTGCATGCCCATCCACGACTTTAACAATAGGACATTTTGAACATTCCTATTGGTTGACTTGAGAAAAATACGATACGCACGTGACCATGAAAGACCACATTTTTGCATAAACCTGAACAACATAGATAATGAGGTTTATTGTGATTTTATTGTAATGCTAACGAGTTTCCAAACCATCTCCTCTATTAACTATGATTTAACTCGCAGAATCTATATATAAGCTCATACTCACTTATACTATACAACATTTTTTGCAATTTCGACCGAACGTTAAATATTATCAATGATAAATAAATATAATGATTATAATATTTTTGAAGGATGAAACGTAGATCCACCAACAATGAATGGATCCAATTCATTATTGTGATGCACGTCCAAGCGATTAGCGCGTTTTAGGCAAGCAATGAGCTTTCATATTATAAACCATTTTAACAGTCGTAAATAAATTGGTTAACATTACCGAAAAACGACGTTTCAAATAATATCTTATTACAAAGGGCCAGAATGTACTTAAAAGCTCGGAAAGCTTTATTGTCTGAGGTTCAGTTTTCCAATTTTATAACTGTAGATAACTAGTCTTAGCAAACACTGTATGCAGGAGCGTAGGAAGAATCAAAAGATTGGGGGGGGGGGCACTAGGGGTAATGAAAAGAGCACCTAAAAAATATTCCCCGGAAATGTAGACCACGGGGGGGAGAAAAATTTTCTCGTCATACTATACCGAAATTGCACCGTTTTTGACCATTTTTTTGAAACATCGAAATTTCCAAACAAAAAGGGCACCTTTGATGTTGATTTAGTATTTACAGCAAAATTAGCTTGTACAAAAAGGGCTCTTTTTATCACAAAAAGGCAGTTTTGGTCCTTTGAAAAATGTGTGTGGGGGAGAGGGAGCACGTGCCCCCTGTGCCCGGCAGGTTCCTACGCCTCTGACTGCATGTGTTTATTGTAATATATTTCACTGCACATTATAATATTGATAATAATTATATGACAACATGCACACATGTGAAACTCACATAATATCTTCGCAATAGGCAGCAAGCAAGCTTCAGCAAGCTTATCAACTACAGGATGATATGTGAAAACAATGCAATTTAAAAATTGTCGACTAAACTGAAAATTCAGCCAAATGTTCGACAACTTTGTAATTATAGTATATGGGCAGATTGGGTATCTCTATCACAAAATTATTGTGGGAACTGTAAATTTCCAAAGTGCAGCATAGCTTTTCTATTACCATTTTGGAAGTAGCTTGCGCACAACAGTAGTAGATTTGAAACGCAATGTGAATCAATAGTGTCTCAATAAATTATAGAAGTTCTTTTATCAATCAATTATTTACATTAAACTCAACTCGGAATCTCTCAAAATTGGACTTTTGTGCCACTTCTGCACGCATAATTTTTAAACTTTTTGTGAAGAGTATATAAGAAATCAATCATCATGCATAAAATCAGTTGTGGGTGTGATAAATTGTCCGCGAAAGGCCAGTATGGCAAAAAAGCCCAAGCTTCGAGGTGCGCATAGGACTTAATGCACATGCATCAAAATTAATTATCTGGTTATTTATATTTATTTATTAATAGTTCAAATTTTGCGTTTAGTTTAGTGGTCACTCTACTACTGCGCCCATTTCTCATACAGCCTGTAGTGGTAAAAATATCGGGGGCAACAACAAGAGCAACAGCCATGCCTACTAATTATTTTATAAGTGTTTTCAGGATGTTGCATGTGGAGGTTAATTCATTATATGGCACACATTGGCTTGTGGGACTTGTGCCAACGACCATTTGTGACCGAAGATAGATAAATTTGAAAGATAAATTAGCCATGATATTGTGAGAATCCTGATCAGATGATACATGAACTGTACTTAAATGGTTACATAATTGTTGTAATTAATGCACAATGTAATGGACCATAAATAAATAAATATTAATTTATAAATTAAAATATTTAGTGTCATCCACATTAATAGTGGATGTCTGAATGGAATCTAATTCAGAACAGTGAAGTGCATTCTTGGAGAAAATGGCGGAAGAGCAGTTTGTGTTTGTCGAATATGTATAATTATAGGCTGCCGGTGTAGGAATAAACACTGGATCGAAGCTTCCAAATTTGTCATAATTAAGGGATCAATAACTTCAATAGATCATTTTGGAAAACAGAAACACCTCCTGCGCACAGGAAATTATTACGCCCTATTGGTTGTCTTAGTATACATTCACTATTATCAGAAATTTGCTACTGTCTCTCGCACTATTCTGACGACTGGAATTTTTTTTGTATAGGCAGAGTGTGGCAATTGATTTATTATTTAGAAACATTCATCAAGTTAATTATCAAACAACATATGAATAAGGCCTACATATCAATAGCATAGAGCGACAGTAATCACAAAATGTTAGAGCAACTTGATAACGGGCAAACAAACGGACTCGAAGTCCCAGCGAAGTTAACAATTTGAAAGTTAAATGAATCAATGCAAATAGAAAAAAGGTGAAAAGTGAATGTCCATCACGCGGCGAGGACCATGCACAACAGCATTCAGTATAAATCAGTAAACAGAACAAGGTTGGAAGGATCTACTCAACAACTAATTAGACAGTCCCACTACTTTTAAATACGCCAAGTCAACCCCACACAAGAATCCTGCCGTGAAAGAACTAATTAGCTTAGCAATATAATCAATCTCTCGAATTGCTATGTAGTTAGGGAACACAGTTTTGGCAATTTAAATAAACCTCATCAACGGTCTAAATAAACACTTTGTAGTTCACTGATATAACTATAACCCAAAATATTGCCGACTTTTTAGCAGTGATAATTAATAGAATTAATCATATAAATTTAGCTATATATGGACCTATACATTGTGGCTTAAACTTCACACTAATGAAATAATAGCATGCAGATTACCTGTTAGAAGAACTAGAGTGGTTGCGGCTAGAAAACAATTGTACATCTTTCAAATTTGTCGTAGAGAGAAACTATAATAAAAAATTGAATAAGAAAACTACTTCTGTTACATATAAACTGTCATTAGTACAAGGTGGCCACTAAAATTAAATAACCTAACATATTGAAAGCAAAAAAGAGCTTCATAGGGATGGTATATAACCGTGGGTTTCACTGTGTTGGAAAATGTGGAACAAGTCAAGTATGGCACATTTCCCAGATTGACGAAGTTTTTTATGCACTATATGTTGTTGACCTTGCATGTGTCTCCTGGCATGTACATATGTTACTAAAATATATTTAGCAACATTTTCTTCACCATGCACCGAAAACACTAAGCTAATACCCACATGTGGTAAAAGTACATCAATGATACTAGTATTAGTTCAATGACACTAGTAAAATTAGTATTACTGGTTATATTACATACCTTATATCAACAGTTCTTCGTGTTGCTGTGAACACCTACTCGATATGGAAAATTGTGCCAGTCCTGGTGGCATTTTATAGTGCACTAAGGCGTGGCGTGTTAGTTAGTCAAGCATGGCAACTGGTCATGCTATATAATTATGCTAATACCAAGTGGCGTAACGGAGGAAGTGGGAACCCTTAGGCAAATATGGTGTGGGGGCCCCTGTTGACTATTGTGATCGTTTGACTGTGATATTATATTTATATTCAATATTTATTGAATTTCTGTAAAATTCCGTACTTATTAATTTTGTATAACATGCAATAACAATAAGAATCTCCAACGGATGTAACAACTAATAAGAATAACTAATGTTTATTTGAGATGGAATAAAAAAATCAGCAACCGTCCGTTGTCGATGGAGGGAGGCTTTATTATTTAGCATTATTAATTTTGCATTTTTGCATCAGATTTTTAAACTGCATTTTTTACGTTTTCTAATTTTCTGGGCGATAGGACGTGGCTGGTAAGGGCCCCTAACAGTCTAGGGCCCTTAGTTTTTGAACTAACCCTACCGAATGAGCGTTACGCCACTGCTAATAACAGTACATTTAGACAGATTAATTTAAATACAGTAGATTTCCAAAGGTTTATTGATATATAACTGATCATGCCATGCCAATATCTTTTAATTTCGTGTTTTGTCACAGGATATCATACCCTGCATGCATATCAAAGAAGTTTATGTGTGCAAAACCTTCCCATCATGTCGCCAAAAGATATGCACGCACGATTTTGGATAGTTTATATTGATCATTGTTTGTAATAATAAGTTAATTATATTATTCCCAACTAATGGTTTGGAACACAGGAACATAAAAACAAAGAATTGGTGACGTGAGTGATACGCTGACAGCAAATGTTATTCAAAATGCACGAAACAGAAAAAGCATAAAATTTTAGACACAATTTGGAAATGGAAATTAAGAGGAGAACATTACACTATGTTATCTTGTTCGACCCATCGGTTACTATTTTCGACTTTGTTGCTGAAACCGTCATATTTTCAGTATCGAAGATACAAGGCTTTGTATCTTCAATACTGCAAATATGATGGTTTCAGAAACAAAGTCGGAATTAGTAACCGATGGGTCGAACAAGAAAACGCAAACAACCCGACCAAATGTGACATTACACTATAGCATACTGTATTAAAATTGTTTGCTAATAAAACAATTAAACCACAAAATGCACAACCCCGTACCCATGCAGGCATTTTCGTTTCCGCGGTTGGATGATTAGCCTGCATGCATTCGCTAAAATATTTTGATTTAAACAAATTTTTGTATTTGGACAAGTTGGATATTGGTGCCTAGCCACCTTATGATATTTTAGCATGCATAAATGTTTCGTATTTTTTATTTTGGAAGAGACAAGAATAAACTTTTTCTCCTTAAGCCAGGCCGGCGCAGACACTGCGATTTTAGTCGGCCATTCAGGTTTAGATGGATGTTTTCAGCAAAAACAATCAGTGATAGGATCTGTGGGCTCATCTACATCGCCAGATTTGCCAATATCATGCACCTAACCTTAAATCGGCCGACTGAAATCGCCGTGTGTGCACCTGGCTTTACTGATATTTTGTTCAATATTAAGAAAAAACATTTCCCCTGCGAAAATTCACTTAGATTTCATATGTGTAAATGCCATGACGGGTGGAATATATTAGCGGATATTGATTATGTCGCGTTATTGTTCACTTGGCAATACAATAAGGAGAAAATGGTATTATTTATTATCCGACACTGTTTGATTTCATGTAACATATAAGCTATAAAAGCTATCGCATGCAATGAAATAACAATTATTGCATTCGAAAAGGGCTAAACTTAGATTTTGATAAATATAGCTAACACTTGAATTTACATGCAATATTGAGCGAGATACAACCAAAATAAAAATATTTATTACATATTTCACAAGTATAACTACATCGACAATGATAAGGTTGTTTTATGCTAATTTTTTGCATTTTCAAATACAGTAGTTGAACGTTCAAGCATCAATAGTGCAGTCAGTATTGGATGTAAATTTATTGGGCTATATATCACAAAATCTAAGTTAGTTGATTGGTTGGTTGCGATAACGCTTATAGCATGTGAAAACAAACAGTGTCCATGAAGTTCTTTTGTGACAATCCATATATATACACAGCTGATTCCAAAAAGTTTTCCTTCCAAACTCTAAACCTTAGACCGTTACACCTTATAGATCAGACTTCATCCTCGCGACCTGCGCGTGGAATCGTCGTGTTTATTGTTCGGCAAAAATATTGAAACAAGCCGCGGGAAGTTTTTTGGCGTTTTTATCTACAAAGAAAGCTCCAGTTTTTCATTATAATCCTAATTTTTTTGTGAATTCGAACAGTACGTATGTTATTAACTAGTTTAGCCAATCTTTTAGTGTGTTTTTACGTATTTACGTTCAGTATTGTCTTTCATATTGCTCAAAATTTTCACTACTTGTTGTGTTGCGAACTGTCAAACTGAAATGATACTGTCTTCTATAACTCTTGAACAGTAGTGAACTGTCGCCGAAACTTATGTAAGTTCTGTCAATCAATTCAATTCAATTCAATTCAATTCACAGGTATCGTTTAATCTGCTAAATCAAATAAAACAGTTATGAGTTGTTTTATATGAAAAGTTAAACTTGTAGTTCGATGTTTTGAAAAGTTTTCACACCGATTTTAACAACAAAAACAAATGTAAACTAACACTGGATTTAGTACAATGCGTATAATAGTGTTTTTTTATTAGTATTTTCAAGATTAACATTTTATTTTTATGTCAAACAAGTCAGAAATATCTGTTTTCGTATGTATTGTAAGCCAAAAAGTTGAAATCACTATAAATCACACGCTACAATTTACACGCATGCGCAGATCGTGCTCATGTCGAGTCGATTTTTTTTCATGCTGGCCACGCCGATTTTAGCGATGATTTTCTCGTGTTTTCTTGCGTGAAATTTTTTTAAACTTTGTATTTTTGTTATACAAGACGAGTGGTACAACATATCCAAATTTTAAGAAATTCTACAAATAACTTTTTCTGTAACCGTCATTCACGAATATCTCGAAAACTTATTTGTAAATTCCCTTCAAATTTTGATATGTTTTTCCTTTATGGGCCATAAATCTTCAAAAAAAATTTCCAGAAAAATTCACAGAAGGAAAATATAGATATTGTCAATTTATTGTGAAATTAGACAATAAAAGTGCAAAAGATTAAACATCATGGTTGCCATGGCAACACAAACACTGTTTTAATTTGTTCATAAATGGACAGCACACAGCTTCTGAACTTTCCTGGAAATGATCATATTGCCTTGTCTTAAGTGTATCTAATATAAATTCGGTTCAAAGCGAACGTTTCTCAAAATACCTGGAATTTTAGAGAACTGTAGGGAGCCACCTTAAGTAGCAATGGGTTGATTATATCTTATTCGGAGTAGCCGTCAATAATAATAGCAACTTTCCAAACTGATTGGTTAAACAAAGAAAGACAAAGAGTTATTATGTTGTTGATATACAATTACAGCGACAGTTATGTGATACGAAACCGAATTTGCGCCTTAAGAATTTCAAATTAATAAACTGGGATGTTTCTCTAGTTCGAGGTTAATTAATTTTTGGAGGCACGTGGGGTCAAGTATAAAACGATCAGTTGAATTATAGTTATTAATACACTAATGACTATATTACGAGCTAATTGAGATCTTCCCGCATCCTTGAAGAGTATTCATGCGGCCATCTTGATAAATATCCGATATTTTAATGTAGATCGAACGGTTACACACAACCATGCATGACCATTAGTGTGCGTCTTTGATAAAAGATAAATATATGCAATAAAGTTTTTGTATGGGTTATATTGAGCACTGTTCTTAACTATATGGGTTATATTGAGCACTGTTCTATATATATATATATATATATATATATATATATATATATATATATATATATATATATATATATATATATATATATATATATATATATATATAATATATAATATATAATATTTATAATATATATATATATATATATATATATATATATATATACGTATATATATATATATATATATATATATATAAAAAGACATAAACAACAAATTTCAATCTTAAAATTTTATTTCATCGCTACACAGTGTTTCACGTACAGCGTACGATCATCAGGCGATTGATGTTAATTATCTCGCAATAAATTACAACGGTTTACGCTGACGCGCTTAGATTGCTGACGCAAGCATTTAAACGATTGTGGTTACTTGCGCGCGCGCGTTTGAAATTAGAAGCTTTATAACTGTTCCTATGCCTACACTTGCTAAACAATTCAGATCTTATATTCAATGTATTAATTTTGTCCGATAACATAATCATTCTTTTTTCCTCGGTGCACAGAGAACAAACTTTCATTCCTGGGCAAACGGCTGGAACTTGCTTCATGACCGACCAATTTATTCGGAATGATTTGTTCTGCGATTTAAGATATAAGAAATTATATATATATATATATAATTTGTTATCTTAAAATGTTTCAATTTCTCGCTACTTTAAGTTTCATGCCACTATTTGTGGCAATCTTCAGGCGATAACAAATTAATTCGCTCTGCTAAATAATTTGTAGTATTGGGCACTCTTTTATCTATAACGAAAAACAAAACTGTTTATATATATATATATATATATATTTTCGTTTTACCTCAAAAAACCACAACAGTCTGTTTCATCCGTATAGGAATCATCAGGTGGTGAATAATTTCGGATGAAACAGACTATACGGATGAAACAAACTGTTGTGGTTCTTCGAGGTAAAACGAAAAACTATATTACGCTCTATCTATATGGTATTGAGCACTGTTTGTGTTTCGTAAACCAAAATCTTAAGCTATATATATATATATATATATATATATATATATATATATATATATATATATATATATATATATATTTATATATAGCTTAATTCCTAATTACACGAATGATATGCATTCAATACAAATAAAATATCAGATGCTAGTGACAAATGGCAGGGACACTACAACAGTTAAAAACAATTACTGAGGGTCATTTTAACATCATACAAGTTACATGCGAATGTCTAGAAACAACAGTTGATGGCATTGTTCAAACTTCGACAAGAGTTACGATTTAGCTCGATTTAAAAATACAGATTTCCACTTCGTGGATCTTTTGCATAAAAACAACTGCTCAGGGCATTCGAATAATAATCTGGTAACAATCTCTTCGTTAATGTACTTAAAGACAATGTAAAGTCCGTTCTGCGAATACGTTCTGCGCAGGCTTACATTCCAAAGGTCGAGACCCGACCATTGGATCGAATGTTATTAATATTTCGCTCTTTCCGAACTTTCTTCAATTGAATCTCTAGTCTGTATTAATTTAGAAGCATATAGCGAACCAGAAGCGTCAGTGTTAAAACTTCAGTATATAATATATATCTAATCATATTTTACAACTATCATAGCACTGAGTTCAAAATGCAAACAAAGCATTTTCTTACATTACGGACTTTACATGACCATTAAACTATATTATAGAGTGTCTTGGAAGACATATCCAAACTGTCGACACGGGTGATATACAATCACTATTTCATTACGTTATATTCGGGATTGTAGCTTTTACGCGCCAACATGACATCATGCCTTTTTATAAGTCTTTTTTAACAAACGAGAAGTAAATTTTACCTGAATAAAAGTGTATAAAATTTGATACTGATTTATTGAATGACTAGCTATATATTATACAGTTCAGTTCGATAAAATGATGTTCAGATGAGGTATATCAAAATGTGACTCTCTGCCGATAATTAACACGTGTGCATTAATTGACAATTTCATTAATTTCATTCATGGCATTTTGTCTTCCTATTGGTATCTACAGTAGAGCCAGTTATGAAAATGAATAACTAATTTTGCGTTCTCGAATCTAGTATGGACAAGGCTCGCAAAATGTATTGTAGGCCTATGTGCCCAAACTTTATAGATACCTCTCTTTTGTTTGTTTTTTTGCTTGATTTCAAAGCGCATTGACAAGAACCTAAAACGATAGGATCCGATAAATGCCCTTTGCTTTCTGATTTAACCTGCACCACCGAGTTTTCGATTGGCGTTGTGTCCTGCGTTGCATTGTGTTGCCAGTGCGAGAGAACAAATCGCAATACAAATGTATTATTTCCTACGCGGCCACGGAATTGTAACTTGATTCCTTGATTCCAAAAATGAAAATGATTTAAAACATCAAATTACAACTGATTATATTCAGACAGACAGCGAATGAAAATCGATTAACTTGATAGGTGACTATAGCTGGATTAGCCGCCCTATATATATTGATTAGCCGCCCTATATATATTTTTCACGTACTAGTGTCATGGACTAGTAAAGTACGTCTGTCCAAGTTTACGCACTACTGCATGTCAAAACGTGGAGAAATCAGTTGATTGCTCAAACGTTACAATTGCATACACTTTTATTAAACGCATATTAGGATCTTTAAATCTATATTGATATAATATTCTGCTTCTATCGATCAAGCCACACTTTATCAGTGATCAAAATTTGAAACTTGTGTATAAAATGAAGAGTGCTAAATTTTGGATAAAGAAATCAATAATCAATTTAGCGTCCATTGTGGAAAATTCTGGTTTTTCACTTCCTCACGCGAGAAAAACATCGTGCGTGAAACCTATAGGCTTTGTAGTTTCGAGTAACCTGATCAAAGTGAATTTGTCTAACTTGGAAATATTTCACTTTATATTATTTGATGAGTTATCGCCTGGCTACTTCTCTGTCTAACTTTATACAGGAAGTCCGCTACTTAATTGCCCACTGTGTTTACTATAGCATTACTAATAACGTCACTTTAAGCAGAATTGAGCACTGCTTCACCCACTAACTTCTTGCGATATCTAATTTTAAGAACTTTCTTCTTCCGAGTTATTCGTTTTTATGTAATTCAGTTTTTGACCTAGACATGCCAATGATGCCATGTACCTAGTCTCAAAAATTAAATAATGTAAAGTTCTTTGATTGAAGTAAATTCGCTTTGTGTATGCCCAAGTCCCATGATTTCAAAACTAAGTTATTTTTCTTTTTTGTAAAATTTTTCCCGAATCTGCATTTACGTATGTGAGAGATCAGTTTTTGGGTTATGCGCAAATCGAGCTTTTCCTCAGCTATGACTTATAGTGTAATATAAATATAAGTGTAAATTTTATAAGTGGGCGGAAGGGGGGGGGGGGGTTACTGAACGGTTGAAACTTTTCCTTTTGGGCAATACCTATTTTATTGTTATTGTTAATATTCCCAATTCAGTTATAAAGAATAAGTTTAATATTGTGAAGAAATAATATAAGCACCATTTCTATTTACTGATATTCGCCCGGCCAAAATAACAAGTCTAGCATCAATTAAGATGGTGACGCCAATAATCAAAGTTAAAATGTCCAAAATTTGCATGCATTTCTAAACATTCTTTCTAAACATACTTTCTCACTGCAAATTTTGGTATTGGCCAATTGTGAGTGCAATTGCGCTAGGCTATACAAGAAGTTGGCAAACAAGGAAATTAATGCTGTAGTGAGTATATCTGCATGAGTTTGACTAAATGTAATTTTATACCCTATAGCAATTTTCGTGGACATGGGTGTAGGAAAATGTTTCCTCATTAGCGACAAGAAAAACACTGCGATTTGCAGTTGAGCTTAGAGACAAGAAGTTTTGCCGCGGAGTTTGATCGTTGAAACCACAGTTGAAACGTACAAGTTACCAAGGGCAATTTCAAATGTTGTCAAGCTGAAATGCGAATGTTGTCATGGGAGATTTAGATACTTTCGGGCAATCATAGTGAAGAAGGCGTTGCCCCAAGTGGCCTCCAACGCTTTCTTCACTATGATTGGCCGAAAGTGCCTAAATCTCCCATGACAACATTCGCATTTCCGCTTGACAACATTTCAATTTGCCCTTGGTAACTTGTACGTTTCAACCATCAAACTGCGCGGCAAAACTTCTTGTCTCAAGCTCAACTGCAAATCGCAGTATGTTCTGATTTACATGACAACTGTTCAATGGTACACACCAGACATAATCACGTGCATGAAATACAGTGGCTCCCTATAGACCGTATAGAATATTGTCATGTTTATAAAGGAAACTTTAATCTAGCCTGACATGAACCATAAGCGAGGCCAGGCAAATGTAATCGTAGTTTCCCCACTTCACTTTGTCACAAAGCTCAGATTACTGTTCGCCAGGGCTACGTCCGCTACGACAACGATCTCAATGGGCCCAGAGCTAAGTCTGGCAGGAGCTCGGTTAAAATCTGTTTACACTAACACAGTGAAAGCCAAGAAAAGTCTTGATGCAACGTCAATGCTCGCTCAATGTAGAGATAATAGATAGCTTAAGATCTAGGACGTCGACGTCAGCTAGGACGTCAGGACTAAGCAGAGGACTGGGACTACATTAGGAAGACATCCTGTAGTCCCGTCGACGTCGTAGATCTTAAGCTATCTATAATGACTGTACTAGATAGTATAACAGTTAGTTAGCATCAGCCTTAATTGCTAGTATTATATTGATTTTATTGAGCTAACTCTTATTAATATTTTTTTGCATATTGTTTTCCGTAACCTTTGCCTCGTTCAAGGTATAACAATCCTTAAAATAAGTATTATACAATGCGGTAATGCTATAACAATTTTTTACCCTTCTGAGGAAAATGCGGAATATGTGCCCGAACCGGTAGCTTGGAGTGTCGCTATAGTTCTTACACAGCCAGGCAGGTAACCGAAATAGAATAACGTAATTTTGTATAATAACTTGCGATCAATTAATCTCTCCAAAACCGTGCATGCATAACTTCTGGCAACATCACAGTAACCAATATCCATTGTCGGTTTCACTGACCTTCTCGCGCCGGAAAAAAGAGTTTTATTTTACATAATGCATTAATTAAATTATTCCTCGTAAAATTATTACAATATTCTTAGATCCTTATAGACATTTGGTGTATAATATTTTAATATTTTCTTAACTCGTAAATATATAACCGTAATTCATCCTATTGACTGCAATGTTTACATGAAATAAACCATCTATCCCGGGTTTGACAGAAATTATGGGAAGTTTTTAACACTTTGTGTAATTGCATGCCGTGCAATTTTGTTTGTCGTTCTGATATTATATGAGGAGTTTTTGGAGAGATTATATTGATCACAATTAGTTTAAGTTAAGCTATAATGAATTAGGCTATTCCGAGTAGCTGTCAAAATAACCAGCAACATTTCAACTGATGGGTGTTATAGCCAGAAGGACAAGGTGTTATTATTTTAACACTAGTTGGTAACACTCTAATCTGCAATTATTTCTTTTAATAACATAATCTAATCTGCGTACTGGTTATAATCGCTCGTTCCATCTTGGCCGTTCATATGGTTCTAATCGCTCGTTCCATCTTGGCCGTTAATAGGGAGTTTAAGATTCGCGTTTCCGGGAGCGGCAAACGACTGGGTCAAACTTTCTTGGCAAAATTGTCGTTGAACGTTTTCGTTTCATATTTTCTTTCTTGTGCCGAAAAAACAATCGTCCATTGCAGTTTTAAAACAGCTAGTTCATTTGCTCTTTATTGCCTAATGCCGTAAAATTTTTGTCCGCCTGCATGGCCTTTGCCGTATAACACAAAGCTTAAGCTCTCTAATATTAACAAATTGTGGCCTAGCCTAAACTAATGCAAGCCTACAGTAATGCAAGTTTTGTGGCAAAGTGAAGAGACGAAACCACGCCGCTTTGTAAACATGACAATAGTTTATGTAATCAAAGTTTTGTCGTGCTTATGCAGATATACAGTACAGCATTTCTGTGTTTGCCAAATTTATTTTCTTTCTTATATAGGCTATAGTGCGTGACTCTCACGATTGATCAAAACCAAAATTTGCATTGTGAAAATCATGATATCAATAATAGTAAAATATGTTTAAAATACATTAAAATACAAAGAAACAGCTTAGGCTATTCCCAAACGTTGTCAATTAAGCTACTCTAGTTCGAATGTACGAAAACTTCTAATGATTTTGGCCTTCGACATGTTTGTCCGGTCGCTGCTAAGTAGAACCACTTAATAAAACCTATCTTGCATAATTTATCTATATATATAGATGTACAGCATTTCTAGAATGAATTATAATGTACATGCATGCAACAGGTGCATGCGGCATATTTCCGGTTCGTAAACCGCCGGGGTCACCAGAATAACAAACAATGTCATCACTTTCAGTGTGCGTCACATCCGGTGAATATTACCCGCGAGTCCCAACACACAAACGCAACAGACACAAACAACACGACGTCTGCACGAACTAGAGTTGGGTGATACTAGAATCATATCGTGATTGTCGTCTAGGAAATTATCGCGATATTTGATAACATTTCGATGAATGCAATAAGCACATTCGCGATTTTAATTCACATAAAAAACATATTAACAAAACAAACTAGCTGCACTATAACACCAGATATATTTTTGACACGTCTGATTATCAATGTTAAGTACCAGTTAAGGCTGTTTGTATGATTTATTAATTATTATAACAATCTAGACTTTATAACAAACGTACTTGCAGGGAGGTGAGTCCGGGATTGGACGCACCGAGGGTGGCTGGAAGTTTCCCGAACTTACCGAGCGAAGCGAGGTAAGTTCGGGAAACCTCCAGCCACCCGAGGTGCGTCTAATCCCGGACTCACCGAACCTGCAAGTACGTTTGTTTTTTATCCCATACACCGAGCCATACACACATTTGTAGCTCTTCGCGATATATTCGTCGTGTTTTGTGAACATTTTCCCGGCCAAAAAAATCACTGGGCAAGAAAATACTTCTTTATTTACGTCTACATTACCTTTACTGCATTTTTTCTTTGGTTTTTCTTCAGTCTCAGTATGTTAGTCACCGAAAAAAGTTCTTTAAAGTTTAGGTTTGTCGGCTAAATCTTGTCCGCCATATTTGTTATTGTTATTGCAACGTAAGCAGTTTAGCGGGTGAGTTCGGGCGAAAAGCAGGTGAGTTCGGCAAAAAGCAGGTGAGCTCGACGACAAGCTCACCTGCTCTAAATCAATCAGAAAGCCGCTTTTAACACAGGTATGGGATAATATAGCAAACTAGGTAAACTTGAGCAACACTAGTGGAGAACATTCAAACACAACTATGTCCGAAAACCCACATGAGTTCCCGTCCAGTTTGTACGAAGTTTGGTGACTAATGCCTATTTGCATAACATCTCTCTTTCTGAGGAGATTTCAGATCACGTGTTATAAGAGTCTCTTTGATAATGGTATGGCGTTGATTCTTATATAAGTTAAAAACTAATTAATTATAATTATGTACTATTTAAAGCACTTGTAGTCGTGTTTTATCACATATAAAACACTCCGCTGGCTTCAAAAACGACTCATCTTATACGAGTTCATTGGCGAAGTAATTTTTAAAATAAACTTTGTCTAAACCGAGAAAATCAAAGCTAAAGTTTAATTTATGTAAATTAACATGATTTTTTATCACATGGTGGAGGTGACCAGTCAAGGACTCTAATTCCTGACGGTGACAAGTACGCTTGTTGGACCAAGAATGGAGGGGTGACATTCAACGGTTGAACTTTTCAGCTGGCAACCTAGCAATTTGAGTGACCGAGACGAGCTCAATACCTAAGAACACCAAGCAGGTTGCGGGGCCCTCGCATTTCTCATGGGAGACCCAAGGGAGGCAGACCCAAGTGGTTGAAGACGGTAAACGAAGTGTCGACGTGGGCTTGGCACACTGGAGACGACGGGGGACCCAAAGTTAAAAATCATCGAGGTAGGGAACAACGGGTGAACATGGTAGTTGTTTGAAAGAATCCAATGAACAGCGGACGCCACCGAATCAAAAATGAAAGGAGCAGACCTGAGGCCAAAAGGTAGCACCAAGCCATATTAAAAGAGTCTCGCCAGTACATGCCTAACAGAGGTCGGTCGGAGACGTTGATCGGAATGTTAAGGTAGGCGGCTTGCACGTCGAACTTGGCCGTTAAGACCCCTTTAAGACCCCGTTAAGATCGCATAGAGAAGGGATCCTTAGGTATACCATCGTTAATGCTTGCTCCTTGGGGAGAAGAAAGGTCAAGGATGGGGCGCCACTTCCCCGGTTGATGACGTTTCGGAATAACCCCAAACGGACTGGTTTGGAGAGAGGGTAGTGAGGGTACGGATAAGGACCAGCCACCCGGAGGTGAGCGACTTCCGCCGAGAGATATTTGTCGAACACGTCCGGGTGTTGAGACACCGACTTGAGATCGCGCAGCGACAGAAAAGGGACCACACGCTCTGGAACGAAACCCACACAGAAACCGTCGCGAATTCCCGCCAACACATAATCCTTGCGGGCATGGGCGTACCGGGCGGGGGGGGGGGCAGGGGGATGGGGGCGGTAGCCCCCCAGTTTGTTGGGCAGTCTGGCAATATTCGCTTAATAGTCGGGCAATTTTGGTTTATTAAAAAAATAAATTGGACAAATTCTGTCAATTTTGTGATGTTTCCAAAATTTTTGTTAGGTTCCGGAAAATTTTGGCATGTCCGGGAAAATTTTTTGACCACTTAAATGGTACACTGACCGAAATTGTTTTGGCGACGGGGGGGGGGGGGGGGAAGGTCGCCAAAACAAAAAGTCGGGCAAATTTCTTTCCGCCCCCCTAAATTTTTCCTTCCGATACGCCCATGCTTGCGGGGACTAGGATACTCCCGGAGCTCGTGCACAAATTATTATTATTATTATTTAAAATTATTTATACACGGTAGCTTATCAATCTATTTCTACTAAAAATATAGAGAGTTTTCTGATAGTGATAAAGTTTCAAATAATTAAAATGTTTGTAGGTTTTCATAAGGCCCAGCTGTAGAAATTTAAGCTAAGCAGTAGAACAACAATTTACTAAAGTATAGTAAATATCATGGATAAACAGGACATTATTACATTTATAATATTCCATTAAAAAACCCGAAAAAAATATACACTCTTACTAGTAACAGTTTATTGAAAAAGATGTTTTATAGCAGTCACTGGCAACTTGAAAAATTGTTCAAAAATGAATTATTTTCGCGAATGAAAACTCTCTCAGAGATCGTGAGATTTATCAATTCAGTTGGCAAATTATTTGAAGTTTTTGCACCTTGGTAGCTAAAATTTCGCTTTAGTGCATTTGTTCTTGGTTTTGCCAGTTTCAGCATCGTATAATTACTGCGTAATTTGGCAGGTCATTAACATATAATAAGAATAGTGTTGATAGGTTATATTAACATTTATTCTAATCATGCATGTAAACAGTATAAATACAGTAGGTTCTTATTATGTATGTTACTTATAGGTCCTAGAGAATAATAAAGCAATATTAACATGGTGGCAGCTAGTGGGTTTTAGACAAATATACACGTCTAACATCTCGGTACAAAGAGCAACTTAACATTAAATAATGGCTACGAACTTGCCATTTCCAATATTCAAAAGTACAGGAGACGACAAGCGCGACATGGAGATCTTTGAAGAAGATTTAAAAGATTACTGTACGTAAATAATTGGTATGACCCGTCAAGGGCAACCGAAGAAGAAAGATTTTTATTTATTTATTTTTTATTTTAAACATTTTCCCCATGTACAATAAATTTATGTGTAGTATATTTACAATAATTGTAGAGTGCGGGCTAGAGACCTACTAGAAATCTTAGTAGACTTTTATTTAGGTCTCTAGTTATGCTAGTTTGTATTGTGTTATGTAATAAATTACTTACAGTCAATCACAATATTAAAGGAATATATATATATTTACAAGAGAGAAAAAGAAGAGAAATTGTTCTTATTATAGAAGTGAATACCAATGTTGTAGATGCATTTGGGTTCTTATAAGAATTAGACTACAATATACTATTAAATTTGTCATATAGCAGAATGTTTTATAGCATATCTTATACATTGTATAGTAAAAATTATTGTTTAATTTGCTTTTTGAAAGTGCTGTAGAAATTTATATCTATAAATTTTGTTTCTAATGAATTCCGTACGTCAACTCCTTTATTTGAGGGAGTGTGTTCTACATAATTTGTTCTTTTATAACATTTGTGAAGTTTTGATGCATTTCTCGTGTTATAGCCTATTGATGAATTTGGTTGTTTGTCACAAAATAATCTTTAAAAAATTCTGGTAAATTATTAAGATGATGGTATCGAAACATAAATAAAGCAGTTAAATAGTCGTTGATTTTGAAGATGTTGAGGATATTTAAATCTTTGAAAATTGGTTCACTGTGATCAAAGTAAGATTTGAATGCCATTAAACGCACTATTTTTTTTTGTATATTCATTATTTTTTGAATTCTGTTTTTGTAAGTATTACCCCATGTTAGGTTGCCGTAAATCAAGTTTGGATAGACTAATGCATAGTATATCAGTTTTACAGTATTTCGGTTCACGAAATGTCGTATTTTAGCTATTATACCAGCAGCTCTAATTAATTTGTTTGCTACCTTAGCTATATGATCTTTCCAGGTCAAACATTCGTCAATGACAATACTAAGGAATACTGTATTTTTAACTTCTTCAATATTATTACCATTAATGTTAATTTTAATGTCTTGCTTTGGTTTTTTATTTGAAGATCGGAATAATATTACTTTTGTTTTTCTAGTATTTAGAGATAACTTATTCGCATTTAACCATTCAGCAACTTTATCAAGATGGATCAAAACTGACAAAGCAATAGCTTGCTTTCGAGCGTGTCTTACAGCTTAGGTCTTAGCGAAGCAGGGCAAAAGAAGCCTCATTCAGTACTTCAAGCATTGCGAGAATATTACGGCGCAAGTATTGGAGTCTCGGGGGAACGGCAAAAGTTTCTTCGCTTACTGCAACAAGACGCTGAATCGATAAGTTCATGGGAGTCCCGTATACAAAATCAGAGTGCTCAGTGCGAATACGAGAGTTTTGAAGACGAACTCATGCGAGACCAATTCATATCAGGCTTAGCATCAGAACAACTCCGTGTTAAGCTCATCGGCAAAGGTCACAGACATAAGGACGGTGAACGAGCAAAGGTTACCCTGCGAGAAGTTTTCGAAGTTGCTAAAACATTTGAAGCAACGACAGCGACAAATCAACTCATGAAAACGGCCAGAGAAACACAAGTGTATGAACAAGTCAATTATAACAATAATACGAAACAAAAGCAATCGAACCGTGACCCGTGTTTTTGGTGTAGTGGTCAACATAAGCAACCCCGTCAGAGATTCTGTCCAGCGTATTCGAAAAAATGCAACAAATGTGGCACACTCGGACATTTTGCCAGAGCTTGTAGAAACGCTGGAAACGTCCCTGGAAGCGTCGAGAGTCGAAAACCATACATGCAACTGCAACAACAACAATATGCAAATTGGACGGGCGTTGAGAAACTTTACATGAAGTATGCGTTTATTATACTGCGGGCTCAAAAACAAACGTTGTTGTGACGTTTTGAGAGAACTGAGTTGTTTAAAAGGAAATTGGTCGTTTTGGACGCTGTTTTGGACGCTGTTTTGGACGCTTTTGCATCGTGAAAACTTGTTATTATTGTCGATTTTGTATTGCTCTGTTGGCTGGCTTGAATCACGAAGATTTGACTGTTTTTGAACGGTAAAAATGAGCATAATTTGACTGATTTATTTCCGTACAGGTGACGGTCGTAATATTTTAACTTAGACAGTCTCAGTTTATTCATTTATATATGTATTGTGTAAGGTTAATATGTATGTTTTGGTATTTCTGTATTATTTCGCTTTGTAAGTTTATGAATATTTGTCTTTTTAGCGTGAAAAATAAAACCCTTCGTTACTGTGAGTGGTGTGTACTTCATGTAACATTTAATATACAGTCCCCAAATTCAAGTATTGAAGGCGCGTGGGTTGGTCGTCAACAAACATCGAAACGAGGCTCATTGGCGTGAACACAAATCAAGTTGAAGTCGAAGATAATTATGTAAATGAAGAATTGTTCATGACAGATCACGATATGAACAAACAAGAAAATGCAAATGAACGAAAATTCTTCGCACATCTAACCGTTGTCGAAACCAATCGATCAAAGGTTGTCAAAGCACTAATCGATTCAGCGTCACGTACGTACATGCATTCTACATCAACATTTCCCGAACATTAAAATTGAGAAAACCAAAGCTGCGATCCAGACGTATGGAGATGAACGGATAAAACCAAAGGGCAAATTGACTTTCTGCTGCGAAAGGAAAGGAAAATTGCATCTACTTGATTTCCTGGTAGTCGACGTACCTCGTGGAAAGGCGCCATTGTTGAGTGGTCGAGACGCAGAAATCCTGGGATATTTGGATATTCATGCAGATGAGATTCATTCCGTGAATGAAGTAAAAACGGACAAGAATTCAAATGTGCATAATCAGAAAATCCAGAATGAACAGCTCAATCATCAGAATTCAGAGTGCAATGCCTAAAGTCCAGCAAGCAACATCCAGGGTCAAGAAAGTGTGCGTCAAAACGCCCAACCCCTTCACAAGTCCAGCAAAATTCCACAATTGGGGGAGTTAACAAAAGAATTTGTTCTAGAGCATTATGATAAAGTATTCCAACCAGGAAAAGGAAATCCGTTGGGTGCACCCATGCATATCGAGATGGATCCCGACATTCGACCAGTACATGCTCCTCGACGACGTATTCCCGTTGCAAAGGTACAGAGAGTTAATGAAGCATTGGAGAAGCTTGCGAAGAACGTGTTATAGTTCCAGTCACACAACCAACGAACTGGTTATCGAACATGTTGATAAAAGAAAAGCCTAATGGAAAACTCCGAATATGCATTGATCCAAGTCAGACAATAAATAAAGCAATAAAGCGTCCTATCTACACTATTCCAACAATCGAAGAAAAGCTTCCATTTCTTACTAAAGCGAAAGTGTTTACAATTGTTAACGTGTCGGAGGCGTTCCACAACGTAGTTTTAGATGAACTCTCCTCTTTACTTACAACATTCTAAGGCCCAAATGGACGCTATAGATATCTGCGCATGCCATTTGGAATCTCATCTGGTCCAGAAGAATACCAACGAAGACAGCGAGAATTTCTGGAGGGCTTGGAGGGTGTCATAAACATCGCTGATGACATTTGCATTTTTGGATGTGGAGATACAGACGAACAAGCAAGTAAAGATCACGATAAGAACTTAATTGCATTACTGGACCGATGTAGCGAACGTGACCTGCGATTATCAGCCAAGAAAATCCAACTCAAAGCAACTTCGGTCTCTTTCATGGGACACATCCTCACTGACAAAGGCGTTGCCCCTGACCCATCCAAAGTGATTGCTATACAAGAGAAGCCAAAGCCTGTCGACAGAAATGGAGTTCAACGTTTCTTGGGAATGTGTCAATACCTGTCGAAGTTTTGCCCAAAACTGAGTAAGATTGTCTTACCATTGCGAGATCTAACTAGAATCAACGTAGAATTTATATGGACAGATGTTCACGAAAGCGCTTTCAACTCGGCGAAAGATCTCATTGCATCCAGCACTATTCTGCAGTACTACGATGTCACGCTACCTGTAACCTTGCAAGTAGATGCTTCAGATGAAGCAATTGGTGGGGTTTTACTTCAGAACGGGAAGCCAGTGTGTTTTACGTCGCATACTCTTGATTCAACTGAAAGAAACTACGCGCAGATTGAGAAGGAGTGTCTGGCCATCGTTACTTGTATGAGCAAATGGCACCAATACCTCTACAGGAAGAAAAACATCCTCGTTCACACAGATCATCAGCCACTGGAAACAATCTTCCAAAAATCGTTAAGTAAAGCACCTAGACGACTTCAGCGCATGATGCTGAAGTTGCAACAGTACCATTTCTCGGTCCAGTACAAAAAAGGAAAGGAGATGTATATAGCAGATACTTTGTCTCGAGCAGCTTTAACCAATCCCACGGCAATGGGGACAACTGAAGAAGAAGTGTTTCGCCTGGAATTATCATCGATGGACCTTAAACCACCTAACTTGTCTAATGTCACCTTGGAGCGGCTAAAAGAAGAAGTATCAAGCGACGCAACATTGAAATCACTTTATGAAACAGTACTAATAGGATGGCCGTTAGATAGAGCATCGCTACCTGCAGACCTTCGGCCATATTGGTCTTTCAGAGACGAGATTTCTATTGACAACGGTATACTATTGAAGTCTCATCAAGTAATCATCCCGCCATCAATGAGACAAGAGATGTTAAAAAAGATTCACAAAGCTCATCAAGGTGCAGACAGAAGTATAAGGAGAGCCCGAGAAACACTATTCTGGCCATGTATGTCAGCGGCAATACGCCAAACCTGCTCAACATGTGGTCTGTGTGCACATTATAAATCAGAACGACCAACCGAACCGATGAAATCTCAGGAGATTCCCACACTTCCATGGGAACGAATAAGTGTTGATCTATTTCAATTGGATGGTAAAACGTACTTGGTAACTGTTGATCATTACAGTGATTTCATAGAAATTGATTGGCTAAAGAATACTTCAGCAACGGCAGTCATCAATGCTATGAAAAAGAACTTTGCCAGAGCAGGAATTCCTCGTGCATGCGTCAGTGACAATGGTCCACAGTTCAGTAGTCATGAGTACAGCCAATTTGCCAGTGAATATGGATTCAAACCAGTTAAGTCGTCGCCTTATCATAGCAAAGGCAACGGAAAGGCAGAGTCTGCGGTAAAGGTGGCGAAAAATATTCTAAAGAAAGCGCGGCATGAAGATCCCTACTTGGCATTGCTGGCATACAGGAACACTCCACAACAGGGCCACAAGTTTTCACCTGCTCAGAGGCTTATGAATCGGAAACTACGAGATATCACTGTGTCAGTACCTCAACAACTTAAACCACATCCTGTTTCCAGCACTGAAGTTGTGAATGATATAATGTCGCGTAGAGTCCGGTCCAAACAACTGTATGATAAAAGAGCATCACCCAAACCTTTGAAATCGTTCTCGCGAAATGACCAAGTCTTCGTGAAACCAAATCCGAAAAATAAACACAAGCCATGGATATATGGAGAAGTCGTAAAAAATCGTGGCCATCGGTCGTGTGTCGTGAATACGGCTGTTGGACTAATTCAACGAAACCATAAACAACTCCAAAAAGCTGATGTCACACCGCAGGCTTTCAACAAAACGAACCATGAAGAATTAGAAATAGTATCCCTCCCAGACGAAACCTTACCATCATCAATAGCATTACTTACGGAAACAACCGAGGAACAAGTAACGGCGCTACCATCTCCAGCAGTGGAAATACAGCCAGCACCTCTACGTCGTTCGACAAGAATTCGTAAATCGCCAGTAAGACTTAAAGATTATATACGGTAACATATAATCCTTAAGAAACGTTAATCTCAACTTAATACTTTTCTTTATAAGAACATTTATTTGAACTTCATATTATTGTTTAGATATTTTTGTTTTGTTTTAAAAAAAAATGTGTAAAAAAAAAGACTTTTTTATAAGGGGAAAGGTGTTGATAGGTTATATTAATATTTCTGCTAATCATGCATGTAAACAGTATAAATACAGTAGGTTCTTATTATGTATGTTACTTAGGTTCTAGAGAATAATGAAGCAATATTAACAATAGGAGGGGTCCTAAATTTCATCCCTGCGGAACACCACATTTAATTAATTTTCTGGATGATTTAACATTATTTATTCTACGTGTTTGATATCGTTTTAATTTCTAAGTATGATATAAACCAATTCAAGGCACCCCCTGTAATTCCATACAGTTTTAGCGTTTCAATTAGGATTATATGATCAACAGTGTCAAATGCTTTCCGTAGATCTAGGGACAAGACTCCATTTATAGGACCTTTATCAAAATTTATGAGCCAATTACTTGTAGCATTTAACAACGACGTTACAGTTGAATGAGATTTTCGAAATCCGAATTGGTTACCAGACAGAATGTTGTTCTCATTTATATACGAAATTAACTGATTGTAGACAGTTTTTTCTAAAATTTTCGCAATAGTCGACAAAATCGAAATAGGCCTATAATTGCTACCGTCAGATTTGTCACCGTTTTTGTAAATGGGGTAGACAAAAGCGGTTTTAAGCTCATCTGGGAAGATACGTAGCCCGCCCGACCGAAAAACCACTCCAACACAAAACAAGTTAGAATACAATTTTATTGGCTACAAATGACTACAAATGTATGTATTGACTACAAATGTATGTATTGACTACAAATGTATGTATGCATGTATTGGCTTAACCACACGACAATTCTACGAGTCCAGAAAAACAATAATGCCGACGAGTGAAGATCACGAACAACACGACCGACGCAACGCTGAATAAATATCGTACTGCGGAACATATCAACGTTTTGAGAAAAAAGGAGAAGCGCTTACGATGCCCTCTGTGTGTGACTGGCTAGTTTCAGCAGCGACGTTAAAAGGACAAGAAATACGTCTATGCGACCCACATGCCAAACGATCACATGCATGACGATATCTACACTGCCTGCCAAGGCAGTGTAACCCCCAAAAACGCAAAAAAACGACGGCGAAGGGGTACTGGAACCCGCATGCTGAACGCGACTAGGGGAACGCGGAACACGAAACGCGGCGGTGTGCATGTTAAATAGCTCCACGTTCATGACAAACCCCGCGCGGCGGCGTCGCGGCGAAAAGCCTCGTCGTAATTGCGCCAGGCGTCCCCCCCCCCCCACCCCCTGAATTGCGAATACGTACGTAGAATCAGCAGTTCCTACATAAACAAGTCACGAGCACGGTGGGGGAACCAGGTAACGAGAACGAGGGAGAATATGGAAAACGTTTGGGCCTATTGAACGACATCGGTAATATGTTTGGTCTTGCGGGGGCGGGGGGTAGGTGATTATTAACCGGCCGTCAAACGACATGGTAGGGATGGACGATTTGTCAAATGGCGGGGACAGAAGGGCTGCCAGATCAATGTAAAGGCCTGATGCTATTGCCGTAACCAGTTTGTGGGGAACGGTGTTGAAACCGGGGCCCACCACCATGGCGTTATCAAACGACTGTGAGGGGAAAGTTGGATAGGAGGTACGTGCTCCCGGGTAATTAGACATGAATGGAGAAACTAAGTAAGTTATACCTGACCGTTGGAATTGAGCTGTTGAACCCCCAGGCGGACCATACGAAGTCGCTGGGGCAGGGTAGTAAGAAGGATGGGCGGCTGCATCAGCCTGACCCGAGAACGGTTACTGGGACCAAGATGTACTGGGTGGATCGAGGGACAACCGCCCTGGAGGTTGACCGACGAATGGGTCTTGCTGAATGGGCTGAGGAGTCTGTGCGAGGTGCTGTGAACCAAGGGGGGACGGGAGGCGGCCAGGGATGCTGAAGGATAACCATAGCGGACCACGTTCTGCGAAGGGCCTGGGAATGACACGCTCGGAAATCCAACATGGCGGGCATCAATCTCGTACCCAGAGCAATGCCTGTGCGCGGGCTAGGATGGCATTGGCTCTGGGGAAATTAAATTTTTCTTGTGCTGTGATTGGTTTAACGTTTCTCAATCGTGCATGCCGATAAAGAACCGGAACCCCTTAATTTAGGGGTTTCGGTTGTCAATTTCCCCAGAGCCAATGCCATCCTAGCCCGCGCACAGGCATTGCTCTGGGTACGAAATTGGGCGGGCATGTGAAGTCGGGAATGTAGATTGTAGAAGGAGCCGATAAATTCGAACCCAAACGAGACAGGAACGGCGAGGTCGACGGTAAACTAACGTTCGACGACGACATAGTATTTGGCAATGATCTGGTAGACGAAACTGCTGCGCCATAAGATGGAAAAACTGGAGCGAAAGGACTGTTATTTTTAGCGATCGAGTAAACGATATTTAATATCTGACGAACTCTGCAATGATTTTGAAACTTCTGGCAAAGGCGATGAGGAAACAAACGCCATTGAGTCAACGTTTGAAATAGTTGATCCAGATTCAAGAGGAATTAAACGAGGCATCAGTGATACTCGAAGTGTTTTGAACGACTAAATGTCACGACTGAGAATGAGCTACTGGCGTAAACAACTTATATAAGTTAGGTTATGCAAATGCCCTCATTAGCATTTCCAAGCTGTCCTTAGGGCCACATATTCTGATAATAAGTACAACGACTCAGCTCGTTCTTAATATAATTTATTTCATAAATCCAATTATTACACATGATTTGCAAAGTAAAATATCCATAATATATTATATAAAATAGTAAAATATAGTATAATATATAATATAGTATAGTATAGTATAGTATAGTATAGTATAGTATAGTATAAAATACTTATATAATACAGGGTGTATAAAAAAAAACTGCACAGATTTGAAATTGCTCTTAAACTTGCAAAACAGCTATTAGTGTCCAGTTTTTGATGTTTCTAGCTTCTTTCGGTACTTATAGTGTAGCAAAATGGAAAAAAATTCTCGAACTCAAATTTTGTGAACTAGGGGTGTGTGTCTTTTCCAACAAATTAAAAATGGCTTGCGCACGAAATTTAAAAGCTTTAATCATATTTTAAGTTAAAAGATGGAAATTTTGTTGAGTGTTTAATTACTGTACAAAATTTCAGACAATTTTCTTCAGTTTACGCTCTTTAACCATTCACGCAAACTTACATTTTTTAAAAAGAAATCACCATTTGCATGCTAATTAATGCCTTTGCTTAATTTGCATATGTCCGCAACATGCAAATTAGGTAAAGGCATCAATTAAGCATGCGAAAGGCTAATTTTTTTAGAGAAAATAAATAGTTAAAGGGCTTAAACTAAAGCAAATTGTCTGACATTTTGTACAGTAATTAAAAACCCAACAAATGTTCCATCTATCAACTAAAAGTATGATTAAAGCTTTTAAATTTCGTGCGCAAGCCATTTTTAGTTTGTTGGAAAAGACACCCCCCTGGTTCACAAAATTTGAGTTCGACAAATTTTTGTCATTTTTCTACACTATAAGAACCCAAAGAAACTATATACATCAAAAACTGGATACTAATAGCTGTTTTGCGAATTTAAGAGCAATTTCAAATCTGTGCAGTTTTTTTTGTACACCAGTTTTTTTTTATAAAATACTTAACTGTAATATATATAAATACACATATTTCTTTGTACCTTTAATTTAAGGTATAACATCTCCTTCTCTTTGAGGAAACTCCAAACTTTGAGGAGGCAAATTATATTGCACAGTATATATGAATATGTTTCATACTACAAATGTACCAATTTAGTATCAAATTTGGTATAAAATATTCCTCATAAAATCCAGAGTGTTGTCATGATTTTCAAAGTAAATATTGTGTTTTCAAAACTAAACTGCGGGCTCGTAGCCTACCCCCGTTACACTTCGTGTGTTAACACATAGTATCTTGGCCTAGTATAAAAAAACGTACAATATACAATATGATTTATTAGTTAATCCCCATAAGGGCTTTTCATAACTAATTTACAAAGAAGTGTAGTAATATGATATTTACATGCAATTATTTAGAACTTATGTTAAAAAGATAGATTGTCTGTAGCTAAACTAGAATTACTGTATATTACGAGGACTATTAAAAATTAATTCTGTCTATTGATTATTAACCTTCTTTTATTATATGGTATTTTTCGTATTGGCGCACGCTTGTCAGTAATATTTTGTAGTATACTCGCTAATTTATTCATGCTTCTATTCTCATCATCACAGGCCAAACAATTGATATTTTCCTCACTTACGTCCTTAAGAAACAAATCCTCCTTAAAGTTAGTAAAGTCCCTAAAATATCGTGTTTCAACAGTTGTTGAGACTTTTTCTGCTACAGTGCAAAAAATTGGCAAATGATCAGTTATGTCGGCTACACATATACCTGATTTAAGTATTTTTTGTGGCACGTTTGTGTAAATATGATCTATTAGAGTCGATGTTTGGCTTGTTACGTGCGAGTTGCTTTAGTAATTATTGGCATAAAACCTCATATCACCGAGTAAAAACATTTCATATCCCTTTCCATTTGGCATTTAGCTCCGTGAAAGTCGCCTCTAACCTCTCATGAAAATGAGTACGGTCGTTAGATGGATGTCGATAAATGCATCCTAGAAAAATATTTTTCTGTCGTTTGCGTATAATTTCAAACATACTGGATTCGACCCTCTCCATCGATCAGGGGCGGAGCGAAGACTATCCTTTTCGGGGGGTGCAAGACAACTTTATGCCGACAAAAAGGCGTGGCTAGCGAGCGGTTAGGGCGTGGTCAAAGCGAACCGTATTCATTTTTTAGTGATGTACAACGATTAACTCAGAGTAGTAAGATAATGTATTTTAATTTATTTTTAAAATAAGCGAAATAGTTCCGAAAAAAAATTGAAAAAGCACATCCATTCGTCATCAAACGATCGATTGCAAACTAAACACGTCAGTTTCTCTCTTTTCCGTTTGCGTTTTTGCTTGCTACTGTCCATACTTTTAAATCATCTCCGTATTTCTCATTGTATAAAAGACCGTTAGGTGTAATTTCTAAGACCTTTACTGGCTTTACAAGATTATGAAATGAAGCGCAGACGCATCAACAGTCAACACGCACATGTGCTTCGAATTTCCTAGCTATGGTATACTTCACAAAATTGCAAGAAAATATAATACTATCAAATGGCGTATTAGCGTAATAAGTTCTTGGCCAATTTAGCTGAATGTTCGGGCCGAGCTTTCAGTCGACATATCTATCTTTTCTATCTCGCATTTTCTACAAATTTTCTAGAATTCTCTCTCCAATCAGGTATTGCCTATTGGCTTGATCCAATTTATTTTGCCGACAACTGATTTATTGTGCCGACGGACACGGCATTGGGGGGAGCTGCCATCGATATTTCTAAATCGTGCCTTGGGACAAAGTTCATGCCATTTGCAATATAGAACCCTACACCTCCAGCAGACGTTTTCGAGTTGGTGTGTATAAATTCGTATAGCCGGGCAAACTGATATTATATATATTATTTTCATTTAACTTAGTTTCTGAAATGGCTATGATGTCAGGAATTTCTTTAATTAAACCTAATAAATCTCGTAGTATGGACAGATTTTTTGGCAAACTACGCATATTGTAGTGTATTATGGAAAACGCATGTTGTTTTTTAGCCTTGCGGAAGAAGGATCCAGTTTGTTTGATATTATAATATTTGGTTTCAATATTTTCATTGTATATACATTCCTCTAGGTTTCTATTATTGTCGGGGCATTCAATAATATCTTGGAATAAATCTTTTGAATCTAAGTTCGTAGTTGAACTGAAGTATGTCCATGCCCAATATACACACAACAAAACAATAAATCGGTACTTATAGTTGTTAGTTGAGCGATTCCTTGATTGAAATTCATTGAAGTCTTCCTCTGTGTCAAAATATGCACGACATTGTTCTCATCTTGCTTGAGGTAGATCCGACCATTATATGCCCAAATGTATTTCCATTTCAATCGCTTCTTGAGTTTATTGACCTGACCAAATAATTTCTTCTTATAAGGCGTCAGAGATTCAGAAATATGTACCTGAGCATCGGACTCGAGACCAAATTGAGGAAGATCTTTCGCTTTCTTAGAGGCAAGCTTCTTACGGGCTAGATAAAACTTACTCCGTACTTGTCTTCGAGTGAATTTTACAATTAATTTGGGCGCTGCAGATTGATTATACGATGGTATTGGATGCGCGATTGATATGTCGTCGGCTGTACTGGGAACTCCAATTGTTTCGCCAATTGAATTCACTATTGCTTCGCATGAGAGGTCCCTTGTAGGTTTAATTCCAGCGATTTCCACACAGTCACGCTTTTATATATTGTGCAAGTTCTTCGGCTTGCTGTTTTGCTTCTGCGGCATGTTGTTTCGCCTCATTTAGTTCTTCTCTAGCTTTCTTTAATTAAATTCTTGCTTTGCAGATCATGTTTCTCGTTCATTGAGTGCAGTTCGCGAAGTAAATCGTCGTATTTGTCTGACAGAAACTTGACCGAATCTTTTAAGCCATCAAAATTAGAGCTTAATTGCTGTAGAGTATTGTTGATTGGCGTTAGTTCTTTCTTAAAAAATTCTTTCATCTCCTTCACTGTAACCATATTGATGATTTGAAATCAATTTCTACGGAGCATCGAAAAGGAAGTCTGCTCCGCTCGAGCTCCACGCAATTATCATCAGCTCCACACAATTATCATAGTTAGTGATACTGATTATGATAGTTAGTGATACTATCATTGCGTATATAAGTGAAAAAAGACATCATATAATTTCATATATATGTTTGGGAAATTGATAATTTTGTTATTAAAAGTGATATTTTGGGTGGATTTCTCAATTTTAAAATTATTCTTAAAATTATCGTGTTGCCATGACAACTACTTTCAATTCTTCATATTAAGAAAACATAATGTTTTGTCAGTAAGGCGAGGTTTCTGCATGCATGTATTTTCTAGTAGTTAGTGAAAGCTATCCTGCGCACACTTGCAGGTATATTATTGCCTTTGAAAATATTAAATGTAACGCAAAAATTATATGCACTTTTAATTGTCTCATATGTTTAATTGCATTCAATTATTTTTGAAGCAGACAACTTATGAGTTATGATGCAAATTTTGGCAAATATGTCTTAACACACTTAAGTCGGTTATAGTACGGAAACATTAGAATGACAGAAACTCAACTCTAGCTAATTCAATTAAAAATAATATCCGTCCTATCTGACAATAGTGATGTAGCGCAAGTTTCAGGGACACAATTATTATTATTATTATTATTATTTTTATCATTATTATTATTATTATTGTTAAATGATTGTCTGTGCATACTCGAACTCTCTGTCGGATATGAATCCAATCTCCAAAACAACGTTGATCGCAAAAGGGAAAGATACAAGGATCTAATTACGCAGCAGAAAGACCATTTCAAAACTGTCAAATTTATTAATTTGTCTATTAGTGCCTTAGGTGTTTTCTCAAAAGAATGTAGCACGTTTATGAAAATGTTGAACGAAGGTGGTCTTGATAAAAAACATCAGAACGTTTGTGTTAAGAAAATAACGTCCATCGCCATCAGAACAACGTACTATATATTTTGTTGTAGGAACAAGGATTGGACCGATCCGGACTTGATGAACATTTAAGAATGAGCTTTCTCTTAGTTTTATATCTGTAATATAGTTTTATCAATAATTAATAGTTCAAGTAGTCAATTATAAATTACCTTAATTAGTGAGATTTATAATTGTATATACATAAAATGTCAAAATAAAGTTTCCATTATTATTATTATTATTATTATTATTATTATCCCCCCATCAACTAAATTCATACAACTATCAAACAACATCAACAATGTCAAACAACTATTCGCAGTGATTTGAAGTCATCTCCTAATGAATCAATAACCCACCCCTGGAAGTCGACCTGTAATCATACTAACACCCAATATGATCAGTATACGAATTTTTTTCTGTGTTGGTATAGTGTACTCAGGTGAATATGATATTTGTGGTGTTACTCTGAGTGTATATCCACACCGGGCGAGCTTGAAAAATATGCCCGGCCACGGTGGGATTCGAACCTACGACCTTTGGAATACTAGCCCAATGCTCTTCCAACTGAGCTACGCGGTCAGGACGGTTCGAGTAAGTGATATTTCGGAACAGAATCTAGTTCCTTCGATACCAATGTATTCTAGTAATATGAATTTTTTTTCTGTGTTGGTGTAGTGTACTCAGGTGAATATGATATTTGTGGTGTTACTCTGAGTGTATATCCACACCGGGCGAGCTTGAAAAATATGCCCGGCCACGGTGGGATTCGAACCTACGACCTTTGGAATACTAGACCAATGCTCTTCCAACTGAGCTACGCGGTTCTGTTCCGAAATATCACTTACTCGAACCGTCCTGACCGCGTAGCTCAGTTGGAAGAGCATTGGGCTAGTATTCCAAAGGTCGTAGGTTCGAATCCCACCGTGGCTGGGCATATTTTTCAAGCTCGGCCGGTGTGGATATACACTCAGAGTAACACCACAAATATCATGATCAGTATACGTCGACAAAAGAAGCAATCAAGTCATTCCGTGAAATTCATGTAGATAAATTGGAAAATCGGTTAAAATGTCAAGGTTCATTGTTCTCCAGCATCTCAAAATTTTCACTACCCCAAGTAAATTCGATTTGGCCAACCTGTCAATCCAAATTAACTACCAAGAAACATTTTCAACTTCACTATTCGCTACATAACCAATTCGCTACCAACCCGTAAAAACCTTCAAAAATGGGGACTCTATTCGTCCTCTGAGTGCTCGTTTTGCCTTAAACCTGAATCTTGATCGATTCCTAGTATCTTGATCGATTTACTTGGAGACACGACTCAATCCTAAATTTTATTGCTAATAACCTTGGGAGAACATATTCAGACCATTTATGCTGACTTACCATCTCTCAATCAGTGCACTCGGTGTTTTTGAAAAAGAATCGTCAGATTTTATACAAATATTGGAACATTTGAACTCAGATAAGGCCTGTGTTAAATATACCATTAGGAAAATCATTAACATTGCAATAAGAACCACATATTACTTTTTCTGTTGTAGAAACAAGGATTGGTCGAATCCAGATTTAATGAACTTCTAGTTAGTCTGTTACTTTTTGTATCATATAATTATGACCATATGTGTTATGTAAATGTAGTAATGTATAGTGTATCAAGTAGCCAATTGTAAATTACCTTTAACAGTGAGATTTTCAATTCTAAGTGCATAAAAAATTCAATAAAGTTTTCATTATTATTATTATTATTATTATTATTATTATTATTATTATTATTATTATTATTATTATTATTATTAACCGCAAGAAAGCTAAATATAAGAACCTAATTAGAGAACTGGATCAAAACTTTACATCTGTAAAATTTATAAATCTTTCTGTCAGTTCGCTAGGGGTGTTTGACAAAGAATGTCATACATTCGTAAAAATGCTAAATGAGTTCGGACTGGATAATCAACACCAACAATATTGTATCAGAAAAATTATATCTATTGCCATCCGATCAACGTACTACATATTTTGCTGTAGAAATAAAGAATGGAGAAATCCCGAACTAATGAACATTTAAAGTAACTATTTCTATAAATAATTAACAATTTTTGTATATAAAATTATAACCATGCATGTATAAGTGATTCAAGTAGTCAATTGTAGGTTACCTCAAGAAGTGAGATTTACAATTGTATATATCTATAAATATTCTATTAATAAAGTTTTCATTATTATTATTATTATTATTATTATTATTATTATTATTATTATTATTATATAATAAAGATAATAAAGAAATAAGCCGTGGAATAACCCAGACTTACTGAATTTTTATTAGCTACTATTGATATAAAGTGTAGAGAATGGACCTATCTGTCTAATATAGTGAACTGTTTCTCTATTTTCCTGATTTAATTGAAAGTCTAATTATGTGATATATTTGTATAAATTATCATGTTATTAATAAAGATTTCTGTTGTTTAAAATTATTATTATTATTATTATTATTATTATGACTCAATTCTTTACACTTTGCTTCACTAATATGTATCTCAACTAAGGAAATACGGATTTCGAATCTATGCCGATCTAGACAATTTTGACAATCCTAACGAATTCTTCCATTCATTCCGCCCAGACATTGTACTAATAAAAGATGACAGAATCTTCATTTTGGAATTGACGTGTTGCTTTGAAACAAACTCTGAAAAGAGCAGGAACCTAAAGATCAGCAAATATAGGGATATTCAAAATGATTGCAAGAAAAGGTTTCGACACTGGAGAAAGATTTTCGTTGAATTTACAACACTTGGACTAGTAACAAAACATATAGATGACTTATACAGTGTCTTTAAAAATACAAATATTAATTATAAGAGAATGATTGAAAAGTGTATGGAAGTAGCTATGCGTGCCTCGTTTTATATATATGTACGCCGTAACAAACAATGGACATATCCGCCTATCTTAAAGTTTTATTAATCCTAAATATCTACTACTATAGCGATGTCTGTAATCTCTTTGGACTGCCCTATGTTTACATTGGAGAGAAACACATGAGTTAGTTTTATCAGGTTATATATACTATCAAATTTATATGTATTTTAATGTATAGGATTACAATAAAGTTTCCATTATTATTATTATTAAGGAATGGGAAAGTCCGGACTTGTTAACTATTTGAAATATCTGATTGTCTTCTATATTTACATATTTTCATGTATTCTGTGTTGTAATTTTTATTAGTTCATATAGTTGTGATTCAAATAGCCAATTGTAAGTTACCTTAAATTAGTGAGATGTACAATTGTATATAATTTTATATAGTATATAACAAAATTATTAAAGTTTCCATTATTATTATTATTATTATTATTATTATTATTATTATTATTATTATTATTATTATTATTATTATTATTATTATTATTATTATTATTATTATTATTATTATTATTATTATTATTATTATTATTATTATTATTATTGTTATTATTATTGTTATTATTATTGTTATTATTATTGTTATTATTATTGTGGTTGTTGTGGTTGTTGTGGTTGTGGTTGTGGTTGTGGTTGTGGTTGTGGTTGTGGTTGTGGTTGTGGTTGTGGTTGTGGTTGTGGTTGTGGTTGTGGTTGTGGTTGTGGTTGTTGTTGTTGTTGTTGTTGTGGTTGTGGTTGTGGTTGTGGTTGTGGTTGTGGTTGTGGTTGTGGTTGTGGTTGTGGTTGTTGTTGTTGTTGTTGTTGTTGTTGTTGTTGTGGTTGTGGTTGTGGTTGTGGTTGTGGTTGTGGTTGTGGTTGTTGTTGTTGTTGTTGTTGTTGTTGTTGTTGTTGTTGTTGTTGTTGTTGTTGTTGTTGTTGTTGTTGTTGTTGTTGTGATTGTGGTTGTCGTTGTCGTTGTCGTTGTCGTTGTCGTTGTCGTTGTTGTTGTTGTTGTTGTTAGGGGGCGACGCTCTTTGAAAAAACCCTAAGGCTCCGTCATTACTTGTCTGATCGGAATGAAATTTGACACAATTATTCTAACCAATATTCCGCATCGATTGACGGTGTTCGATTTTTCATTTTTGTATCTGCGAAGCAGATATATATGCTATCGCAAACGTGCCGTGACCGTACCGTACCGTATCCCTAGCCATTCAGCGACGGGCTTATATAATTCAGCCGATTTATGCGAATTTAAGCCAATCAGCGATTCGTTTACATCAATTGTTTACATCGTGCCCGCTGATCTAACCTGCGAACGGGCATACTTTAGCCTCGTCAGGCCCACTGAGCTATACTATATTACTGGAGGACGTGCTCGGCATCAAAAAGTGTCCGCAAAAACATGGCGGATTTCGGCCTTTGCTGACGCCAGAATGACGCCATATGGTTCCTCCGGCTCATGGTAATTACCACTGACCAGGCTCAATTTTGAGCCCGCTACGACTTTCACACCCCCCTGGTTCTTATTAAAATATTTTTGCTTGTTGAAGTATTTGCAGTATATTCTCGTAGTTTTGATTTTTTTCATATTTTTTGTACCTTTGACCACTGGTTCAAATGTGTGTAAGTTGTACACATTATATTCTCGTCCTCAAAAGACAGAAAACCTCGAAATACATCCGCAAAGACGATATTTGAAGTCGCAACTACAGGTAAAATATTTCTCAGTTCATAACTTCACACACTGAGTCACACTCGAGCAAATTTTCTACAAAAATTGTTGGGTTTAACTGTGGTACAATGTATTATATTTTAGCCACAAGTATGTAAAGGTCTCGTAAAGCCTTGTTGTACAAAGTAATCAACTTTCGTTTCATTTAAATCGTGTGCAAAATGGTATTTTGATCTATTGTTTATTTGTTTACATGCTCTATTTGTTGCATATTTTATGATGTTTTGAATAAGCCTGCTGTGCAGTTTGTATTTCATGATACTATTTTCAAAATTTTCTGTAGGTGGCACGAAACTGTGCATTTTACAAATATCAAATTATCTTAATTTGACCCTGGGGACTGATTTTATAATGACATGATTACATGAAAGTACAGTATAATGTGCTACCAGCTAGTACTTACCACTATATTTTGAGGGAATAACAAAGAGACTTTATAGTATTTTATATTTTGTACTAACTTTATATGCAAAAGCTAGAGGTACTCAAGGAAGCTCATTCTGCTGTCGGAGTACCTTAAGGAGTTTTGAATCACTATGATTGTAGTTCTTGGGTGGGGGTTCTAGTTAGTGCAGGATGATGCAACCACTGTAGCTAAGACTAAGACAAATAAACCTCGGCGTTTCAGCTGAAGAGCTTGGGGCCTTTATATTTGTTCATATTTTTTTAGCTTTTGGTGTACATACACATAGGATTATGGTTTCTGTAACTTCTAATAGTTTCTTGATAAATATAATTCTGAAAAAACAATGTATTTTCAAGGGGTCACTCAACTTGCCAACAAAGTTCGAGCATTGTCTGAAAACCTAGTATATTTCTTTTGTATTCCTCATTTTCCCTTGATATGATTTTTCATGCTTTTTCTCTTTTAGAGTAACCTATATAATCTATTCTTGTTTATTGCAGAATTATTTACCACCACAATGATGCAGTTGAAATTGTATTATTTTAATTTAAATTCTTCAATGAATAATTATTAACTACCAATCACCAATGAGTCATTCCAGAAAAGATAAACACTAACTCCACAGATATGTCTGAAGTGCTGTCTGAAGTGGGCAGAACTCAACTGCTGATAATAGTAAAAGTATTAGCTAAGGGTGTCCAAAAGTGGGAGGAAGCTGAACCTCCCATCTCTTCCATTAGGGGTGTGGATATTTCTTTGAATGACCCAATCAGTTTGAACTAACTGTATAATCAAGTTATTCTAGTATAATTATCACTTTGTAGTCCCATGAGCTGTGACATCACTTTGGCTGTTTGGCATGTTTATCTCTTTTCAATTTTCTTTTGGTAGCGATAACAGATTACTACTACAGATACTGTATTACTACACATTGTTACACCCAAATAAGATCATATACATCAATGTTAACTATCATGATACAATACATCTGTTACAGGAAGAACATTTTTGCTTCAGTTCTTGTATAATTACATATCACTTTGATGCCTGTAATAGAAATGAGAAATAAAGTTACTTTGTTTATGATTGTTTTATTCTATGGTGTGAAACTGTTTCATATACATTTCAAAATTAATTGCAATGGGTGCATACTGTAGGTTCTGGCCAGTTAGCTGAGACCACCACCCCTACTTTGCAAGTTACAGCTGTGGCTGGATTGGAACTGTTAGCTCTTGTGCACCACTAATCTTGTATAAATCTGAATTAACCCATTAAGCGCAATCGCTCTCCCCAATTGACGAGTAAAATTATCTGGTGTTAGACAGAGTAAATTAATCTTGCGTTAGACAGAGTAAAGGGCGCATCAGGGTGCAATGCGACTCATAACTAGACACGTAGGCTAGTTATTAACCCATTAAGCACCAGCACTCTCTACTTGATGAGTAAAATCATCTGGCATCAGACAGAGTAAAATAATAAAGTAGGGTGCAATGTGACTCAATGGGTTAACCTCTAAGGGACCTAAATAAATATGGCTAAACATAAATCAAGACTCCCATGACAGAGGTATTTTCTGAGTGAAGGAGGTTTTTTGTTTGGAGATTTTTATGAGGCATAGAGGTTGTCAGGTTGACCCATACTAGCATTCAAGGTAATGCCAATGCAAGAATGATATAAGTATAAATCATGCAAATTTGGGTATGCACAAGTCGATGATAGCTCGATGCTGAACTGAAATGTAGTGCACAACCCCACAAAAAAAGCCTAAATTACAGCCAATTGGTAAATGCTGATACAAAACCTAGCAAGACTAGCAGTTTATAATATTTGTGAAGGATACAATACAGCTTGTTTATACTGTATATAAATCTAGTGCTAACTGCTCTTTATGAAACAAAGCAAACTACAGATTGCATGAGCAGCATGCTGTTTAAAGACTTTAAACTAATAAACTGGCACTAAAAACAAAAGCCAGTGCCTGAAACTAGAAAGAAAATGTATCTACACAATGTATAAATAACCATGTACAACGTTTTTTATGTCTGCTCCAGAAATATTGGTGTAAATATAAAATATAAGTGTTTGACAAATACATATTTATACCTCGATTTTATACGCATATCGGCCCCTGACTTTGCCAATCGAAAATTTGTCGAATAAAAGGTAAAAACTTAAAATTTTCACAAATCTTACCTTTCAGAAGAAATATTCTTCCTTTTAAAGTCTTTACAGCGAATTTTTGCATCCACAAGTGGAGAAAAACGGCATGATTTTGTCTTGAAAACATAAAATATTTGTGCAAAAACAGGGGGGCGAAGGTCTTTGTCGGATGCTTAGGATCGCGGTTGGTCAGTGGTAATTGCCATGAGCCGGAGGAACCATATGGCGTCAGCAAACGTGAAAATCCGCCATGTTTTCGCGGACACTTTTTTGACTGACGAGAGATAGGAGCACCTCCTCCAGTAATATTATAGCTCAGTGGTCAGGCCTCGTGTATAAATCGTGTTTTATATTCTTTCAAAAATATCTTGATATTTTTATCAATTTATCTTGAATTGGCTGTCTTTTTTTTATTCCGAAGTTATTTATCAACATGGAATCTTATCCTCATCTGGTAAGTAGTCAAATACCACATATTATATATTTAAATACCAAATTTGTGCAAATATATGTCCCACATATTTTATACTAGAAAATACATGCATGCAGAAACCCTCGCCTTGCTGACAAAACCATTTTATTTTCCGAACGCAGGCTCGAAAAACGTTTTAAAATGTTCTTTTACTATAGAACTAAACTGCCTTTATCGATAAACTTTGAGTTCGAAATAAAATGATTCCAAATTCTCCCATGCAAATAACTTTGCTTAGTATAATAAAAAGTGTAATCAATAAAGAAACACTGAAATAATACGCTGTCTTGTTTCATATTTATACACAACGATCGGCTTTTAAAGTAATTACAGTAGGTATGTTATTATACGTAATATAAGCTTCAATTTAAGGTAAAATTCAACGACAAACGCTTCGCAAAACGTTTGAAAGTGTTCTTTTAATATAGAACTAAACTGCCTTTATCGCTAAACTTTGAGTTCGAAATAAAATGATTCCAAATTCTCCCATGTAAATAACTTTGCTTAGTATAATAAAAAGTGTAATCAATAAAGAAACACTGAAATAATACGCTGTCTTGTTTCATATTTTATATACGCAACGATCGGCTTTTAAAGTAATTACAGCCGATCGAGATTACAGTATTATTAAAAGCAAACAATGCATCAATATTTAAAACAAACTTACCTTCGTTAACGCCGGCACCTTTACTTCCTTCTTTTAGCAATCCTCTTGCCTTTATTTCATCAAAAATCCTTTGCAATTTACAAAATCTTGCAAAAATGAAATATATTTGCAAGAAATCATCAAATCAATTTCGCTGTCGTCAATCGTCATACAGCCGTTATAATGCCAATTTTAAATTGGACCAATCAGTGTTGGCTATTCATTACAGTCCGCTATATTATGAGATCAGTGAGGATGACCACCCACCGAAACACGCACACTGACCCACGCCCGCGATATTTGATGAACTTTAGACTTCGCTAATGCTTCCCTTCCCCGGGTGTAAATAGCCGGGGGGAATTAGTACCCTCGCACGGCGCTTCGCGCCGTCGGCTCGGGGATTAAATACATGATTCGCCAGTTCGGCAAATATTTACTACACTATCTATAGTTAAATATTGCCGTATCTTCGGCGTAAAGTTTACATGGAATGCACTCTGGAATTTTTTAATTAATATATTACACTGTATAAACTATAATTGGATATTTTCGAGGATATTTTAAGCCATTTATCAACACAGTTCACAAAAAGATTTATACAGTATCAAAAACAATCCTTCTGTGACTTCTGTAATATTTTTAAACAGTGAAAACATTCTCAGGAGATATTGAATTAAATCCTGGTCCTGTATTTCTGTATATTGACTCCATAACTCTGTTCAAAACAGCAGTCCAACTATAAAGCTGTCGTCAAATGTAGTGTTAGAACAAAGGTTGAAGATGTTATCAGTTAAAATCCTTATACATTTTGGTTTTACACATTAGAGTTAATTATTAAACAAAATTTTTACAAACATTTTCAAATAAAAGAATCCTCACCCTCCCGAGCCTCATTACATTGTCATATTGCTTTCTAACATAAATATTTTTCTTTAGAGATTAATACAAGTCATGTATGTCATGTAGTCATGTCATGTATGTTATGTTAGTTTCATGTCTTCCTTGTATAATAGTTTATTTAGTTCAGGACCTTTCTGAAAATCACTTTGTGAGAAAGCTTCCTGAAATTAAATATTAATTAAAAAAAAAAAAAAAAATTAAGAATAAATGTAGTGGATATTGGCTGGATAATTTTGTCAGAACAACCAACTTGCAAGACAATCTTACCTAAATTCATTAGTATGGAAAATAACTTAACAGCTATACAATGAGTAATCATATATTATATGGTGGATTTGATCAATGGCACACAATGTACAAAACTAAACTTGTGATACCTTCTACTCAAACCGATAATCTGCCACAACACGATTGTTTTTGTGTGAATGTGCTGTACGTGTTAAACCGAACAGTATGGTATATCATTAACTGTGCACAGAACTGGAATTTAATTATAATAAATAAATAATATACTTCACTCATGACCTTCAAAACATTCTCAATTATTCAGTGGTCTTCGACATGTTCACCAAATATTTTGTGTATGTTACTCTCCAACTGTTAACATTGGCAAGTGTAAACAACAAGTGACATAACTTTTGCTTCATATGATTACAATAAAGTTTTGAAAATTTGACAAGTATGGATTGAATTGACAGGTGACAGTTTACTAAATAGCCGGCTGTATAGACACTTTGAATATGGTTTGCATGAAATTTTTATTTCCTGACTTTATCTGTTACAATCATAATCACATTATAAAATTAGTTAAATTTTCTCGGTGCGGGGGTCCGGGGGGGGGGGGGTAGCACTTGCCCTGCTGCACTCCCCGCTGTGTACAGCCCTGTTTTAAATCTTATCTGCCATTATAATAAGTGATGAAATATTTCAATTGTCCCATGTCATCTTCATTATTCAGTTTCTTTCAAGAAAATACAAAATGTGAATCAAGTTTTTTCGCAGATACATGTACGCGTCGCGTACCTATTTTTGACTTTAGAAGCAAGATACAAGCAATTTTTGACTGTATTCGTAGCAAATAATATATACATATCATTAATATTCAGCAAATATATCAGCAAACGCAAACGATAAGAAAGACATTGTCTTGTCTATTGTTGTGAACACAATCACAATAGTCTAAAGCTTCTCAAGAATGTGAACGACTAATTATAACAATTAATTATAAGCGTTAAGTTGACTAAATTTAACACGCTGGCTTAGTTTCTCAAAGCGTAGTGGAGTAATATTGCTATCTGGCTGTCATATAATATTCATAGTCCGATAGAAAATCGTGAACCGTAAAAACAAAGACATGAAAATTTGTTTTTAGCACAAGCATGTAGTTATATGAAGCCATGACTAAGTGAGATGAAATTGCATTATTAAACCTGGCAACAATTCAGATAATTTGTTACCTTAACTTATTTTGTAATCAATGGCCTTAACTTATCTATCGAATTCAAATGCGAGGAAATACTTTTGAAAACTGCGCATTTAGTTATCTATGCTTTGTCCAGATTTACACCTCATTTAGGCTATATACACACGGCACTAGACACATTTTGCCCGGATAAAGTGTATCTTGCATGACCAAATTAAAGCAAAACATTTAGCGAACTCAGTCTCCGTTGCAAACTTCGAGAACACGATTTGCACAAGATCGAAACTGAGTCACGCAGTTCCAGGTCCACTATAGTACGATCGTACTTGTTAAGGTGGTGATTTAGATGATATACGAGTTTTACTACAATCAATATCACTTTAAAGGGAAAATCTTGAAACGGAAAATAGTTCACTTACTTCCTTCTCATTAAGCGAGGCTCCATCTTTTGGACATACAGGATTGGCATGACTGAAATATAAAAATCAGTCCGTTCAGTCTGATATAGACCACAAGCATGATTGCGATGATCATGATCCTGATACCACGCATGATCATGATCCTGATACCACGTACCATCATTGCTACCATTGCTGCTGCCTTCATCTGCATTAGGTTCCAGGTACGTTTAATTGTGAGCGTATTTTTGAACAAAAGAAACGTCTGTGTCCTCAGACTTTATCATACAGGGGCCGGTTGTATAAAACTCTTAATCACTTTTTTAATCACTATTTTGTAGTTAAATAGTGGTTAAACTTTAACCACGTAGTTAACTCGGTTGTATAAAAAAGTGGTTAGCGTTAACTATACTTAAAACGTAGTTCAAGTTAACGATGCTTTATGCACCTATCAATGTTAACCCCCAGAGGGGAGAGGGGGGGGGGAGGGGTCGGGCATATGTGGGGTATTTGATCATCAATTGCATCCCCACCCTGGGGATTTTGATTAGCATTTTGGCCCCGAGTTGGGGCAATTTGAATCGAATGGCTTTTATTAATATAGCATTTATTGCAATTTATTGCAAAATGGTGGGGCATTTGACCAATATTTATTGCCCGATGGTGGGGCTCTGGTTGGGCATTTGATTGAAAATTTGCTAAAAAAATCAAATGCCCCACCTATGCCAGACCCCCCTCTGCGGCTTAACATTGATAGGTGCATTAGGGTATCGTTAACTTCTCAAAACGTAGTTAAAAATGGCGCTTGTATAGGAGGGAATAACATTTTTCAGTAAAACAATAATGAAAAGTAATGCTTACCTGGGATTTTCAATCGCTATCTTCGGATCTTCCCTGTGAATGTTTTCTGACAATATAAACTCTTCAAACGCTATCGCTTTGGTTTATCGGCGAAAACAAAATATATTTTTGCACGGGAAGATTTCTCGAAGACGACGTAGGGCCCATTACACGAAGAAATATGATATATAATTGCCAAACAGTTACACTTCGGTTTAACGCAGACATCTCAAGTAAAAATGACCTTCTTCGTTGATTTTTAACTTGTTTTCTAGTTTATTTTTCACTATTTTGAATAAAAATCCCGCCTATTTGCGAAATGCGAGTCCACAATCATGTTAAAAATGCTTGTCAGCGGTCGTTAATCGCTGCTTACTTTATGTAATTTTGTGTTTAAAACGCCCCACGCAAGTTAACTACGTGATTAGTTAATCATCCGACAAACTACGTTTTGTGCAACGCAATAGCTGTTGTCGTAATTGAATACGTCTATGCTACGGACCAGCGGTATCTGCATTATTTTAACATCGAGACGAGGCTATAGGGTCATATTTTGTGTTTTTTGACCCTTTAGCCTCGTTCTCGTGCGTACTTCCACTGAGATACCGCTGGTTCGCCGCAGCGGCGTATTCAATTACGATCACAGCTATTAAGTCGTGTAGTCATAGTCCCCGAGCCGGCGGCGCGAAGCGCCGTGCGAGGGTACTAATTCCGCACGGCTAATTATACCCGGGTATGTGAAAACATAGCGGAGTGCAAAGTTGTCCTCCATTTTGTTTATATCATGGACGGTTTTCGACGTTATGCGCTTGCGCGAGTACAAACTCTGTCGAAGTAATTGTTTAATTTTCATTTTGAAAGCCAGTTTGCAGAGTGTGTCACGCGCACGCGCGATATTATTTTTGAGTAAGACATTGTGTACGCCAAAATGTCATGTGTCACGCCGAATGAATGTTTTGACTACTGACTACAGTAAACGACGCTTTTCGCGTCTACACAAATAACACAATGGAAACAAAATTTATTTCAAATTCTCATAATATATATCTTTCAACAGAGTGCTATAAGCAGTCAAACAGATATTATAACAACAAGGGCGAAGAATAGAAATAATTGTCAATTAATTAATTTCAATATCGTTATTAATTACAATATTAAACAATGTAATGTAAAACATCTATCATACTAAGTCCATCTAACAAGAAGTTTGCTTCCATTAGTTCTGGAAACACATACAATACTTGTTCAAAGCAGTACCTCTTTCACTTCAAAATCTACTTTTTGTAGTCTTTATCTTTTTCATTTAAAACAAAGTAATCAGTTCTGTACAGTGCATACTTGTTTAAAGCGCGACCTCGTTCATCCACGAACACTGGAATTTGATGACGTGGTAGTCCGATCTCTTTATTGCCGTCCAAATATAGGGACGCCACCTCTCTAATAGTTTCCACACACTGTAAAGGCATGAGGAAACACCAGTCTACGTTTGTTCGCTGGGTGAGGGTGTCATTCAATTGACCCTCTGCCTTCGACTGCGTATTCATCACGGAATAGTACGACCCGACAACTGCCTCGGAACCACTCATAGCCAGTGCAACATCCAATGCTATACAGAATTCTTTGCCTGCCGCTTGATATATTGCTTCATTCGTATAAAACGTTGAGAATGCCGTGGCCTGGTCCAATCTGGCAGTGTAAACACCATCATCATAAGTGAAAACGAATTTTTCATCTATTTCATGATCTTCGCTCTTTACTGTAAATTCCTTTAACGGTGCTTGACTGTGTGTTCCTTCTTCAGGTCGTTCAGGGGGAAACCAATACTTTCTGCACCCGCCGAGATCCATCCAGACAACTTGAGACACTTGAAAAACTACGTCCTTGAACTGACGATGCGCGTGGTTTGATAGAGCTGGAAGCAACTTCAATTCCTCCTCTTCTTTTGCCAATCGTTTGATGTGGGCCAAGGAACAAACATAGGTGTAGAAGGAGCGGAACTCAGCATTCCCATAAACATCACGAGCAGCTACTTGACGTGCAGTGAATCTGCCGTTTAGTCCTTGTACAAAGGATACGACGTCTGGTAAATGTAAACAACGTCCCAATATATGTGCTGCTTCGGAGACGCTTGTGGCATATCTAGAATCCATTCCATCTGTAACATTCTCGCAAAGGATAACCAGATCTTTTAAGCAATCTTCCACCGTTCTTTCACTCCATTCAATGACTTTTCTTTTCTTTTTGGAAATGCTGTCGACCTGTTCTGCCGTATCCACGACCATCCATCCTGGTAATAACTGAACCCCTAAAAATGCAATCTACGCTATCTTCTTCATTAAGATCTTCATAATGTTTCCAGAGTTTTGGGAATAGTTGCTTTCGTACTGTTACTTTCCGAATGTCAGATAGCTGACCGGTCGGACCTCGTTTCATTGCTAGTAGAATGGCTTTTACTTTTGGCCACCATTTGGTAACAGACCACAGGTACTGATCCAAAGATTGAGACTTGATCATCATCTCCATAGGTTTTGACAGGATGTCTATGATTCCACACAGATCTAGGCAGAAATCCCGACCTTTAATCATATACTTCATTTCCTCGTCTTCATCATCCGTTTCTCTAATCGCTGAAAACGCTTTACATAGAGCTTCATAACTTTCGTATATGCTCTCAAACTGTGAAAACGAGCTACTCGCAAACCGTGTTGTTGCGTACACTTTAGTAACATGAGCCTTCAAGGAATTTTGCTTTGCAACGCCCTGGTATTCAGCATGCCCCTTTCCTCTGCCATACATCGTATTGAATTGGTTTGCTCTTTTGATGAAGCGCCGTAAGAACTCGCTACTCTCACGAATATCCACCATACAAAGATCCATCCAGTGGGCAGTATCCCAGGGTATAACGAAAAAGATATCATGAGCAGCTAGCAGGTCCTCTTTGTTGTCCCCTTGTGTAGATGATTTCAACGTTTGAAGAAACATTCTTGACTGGTACTGACCATCAGCTTGATGGGCCATCAACGATGACAAAGAATTATTTGGAAGCTTCAAGGTTTTAACCAGGGCAGAGATCACCTGTTCCGCTAATTCATCAGCTGTCCCTCCTTTAAGGCCTGCTTCAGAAAATGAGTACACAGGCGGAGCATCGACTGGAATGGCTGTCTTCATGCCATTTAACATTACTAGGATCATTATGGCGTGATTTGAAACGTGAATTGGAGTAGACTTGTCTGACGTAGTTCCAAAGTGTGGTGGCAGTCCTGTTGATGGTAAAGGCGTAGTGAGGAGATCGCGTGTTCGCTTGTGTAAATAGCATTCAAAAGCTTGAACCATGGCTTTCATTTGATTTCTTCCATGACCCAAGTTCCCAACATCCGAACCGCAACTATGAACTAAGCCAATGGCATTTTCGTAATGAAGTGATGCAGCTTTTATTTTGACTGTAAAGAGAGCTGACTTTAATTGATTACACAATACATCCATCGACCTTTCTTTGATAACACGTCGCCTTTTTCGGGCAATAGGTGCTCTGTAGTGTGCATTCCCTCCATTTCTTGTTGTACAGCTTGCATGTTCTAATCCAGCTCCTAATGTATTTCCTGGAGATTTCTCCATCTTTCGTTGAACTTGTAATAGATCTTTGTCCAGTAGAGCAGGACTGCTGTCACATATCATCTCAAAACATGCTTCGCATCTGACAATTCCACCTCCAAAAGTATCAGGGTAGAAGTTAAAACCGGAGCCATCAATGTCTGAAAGACAAGAAGATTCCTTTAAAATCTTTACTGCCGCTTCAGTTTCGCCGTTGTGCATAAACTTGTTTTCTGAAGGAGTTATCTCCATCCTTTCTAGAAGCTTGTCAATTTTATTGTAAATCACTGAAATGTCGTCACCACAAACTCTACTTGCTTGCTTAGAATTTTCTTCAGAAGTGAAATTAAGAGTTGATTGTATAGGACGTTTGCTTCCAAATTGCGTGGTTGTTACTTGAACGAGACTTGCGTTTCCAGAAGATGAATTGTCAGAAGAATTTTCTATTTCCATTACTTCCTCTGTGTCTTCACTTTCACACAATGTGTTATCTTCTTTCTTCCTTTTCGCTGCAACAGCTGCTTGATGATTTATTGGAACAATTGATTTTGAGAGGTTGAAGCCAGGATCATTTTTGTGGTTTGGAGCAGCATGTCTTTCCGATACCACGGCAAATCGTCTTATTACAGACCAAGCAAAAGTGAGGGTCTTCTGCACTCTTTTCTTGTTAGTTCCAGGCTGTACGTTTTTTACATGTTTAGGAACCTGTGGATCATTGCCACCATCTGAGAGTTTCTTGGAAGCGGTTTGAAAATACTGCAAAAATTTTCGCTCATTTGAGACCTTGCTCGATTTTGCACCAATCTGTTCACTTTCAACATCGGGCTCATGGTCCATGGTATTTTCATACTCATCACTTGATGACATTTTTTCTCAACCAAAATCCTTTTTTAAATAAATTGTCATTGATATTTTAACAGGTCACAACTCACAAAATTTTTAATTTTTATAATATATGTACTTTTACGACTTTTATTAAATAACCAATATTACCATTTGCGTCCAAAATGCATGCCGCATGCATTATGATTTATGCATATTGTCACTGAATATATTAAAATATATACACGCCATAGAGATCAATAAAACAACGATTTAGTAATAGTTATTATTCATTAACAAAAAAATAGTACTTACATCTAACATCTTCAGCATCACTTGAACATATTGTTATTATAAAACCAGTAAAAATGTTGAAATTTAATTTAAAACTTACAAAATTAAGACGTACTCAGCTGAGCAAATTCACTGTGGGCGCTTGGATTCCGTATTGATGCATGTTAAATGAAGTACTTCACCTGGTTATAAGCAACATGACTTTTATATTTTCGAACAAAAACAAAGATCTCAAGTTGAAATAAATATAGTTTTGACCAAAAAGATCGGCAAGTGCTCCGAGTCGCTCAAGACAAGAGTAAGTATGCACACGGAAATTTAGATACGATACCTTTTGCACGCGATGCACGCCACTAAATTGTGTTTGCACGCGCGAGATCTCGTCGAGTATTGCCCAAGTCTGCAAACTGGCGTAAATCCCCACAGAAACGGCTAGAACGAAGGAACAATTGCTATGGCTACTAATAAAATGTCACTACTGTATTCATGCGTATATTCAGCAGTTTTACCTAGCATAATGTAGGCTATACAACTATTAAACTATATAAGTATATAATAGTATATATAGCTACACATATTGCGAAGGTGTGGTATAAGTGTTCGTAGTAACAATCGGATCAGTAATATTTATCTCCTATGATAGCATTGGTTGCGTAAATACAGTCTCTGGCCTTGGGCGGCACCGCGGCTATGACACAGCAGTCACTGAAAATAGATAGTACATTATAATTGACATTGACGTAACCGTACAAATTCTATATGTAATGGCTGCAATTCAAAATGGCCGTCGATTGTTTTCGCTGATTCGTTTTTTTATCGTATTACTGTTGTTTCGTGCATTTTTCCGGTTTCATAACCTAAAAATTATTCTAAGTAACTAAAGAAGCTTTTTTCGAGTAAAATGGGTGATCAATCCGTTTTGGGGGAGGCGACGAGTGCGAAAAGTGAAGTTTTTCCAGAAGAGCTAGAGGGGAATGACGAAAATTTGCCTCCAAACGACGACATGGTGTTTGAAGAGGTAGAAAAATCCAGAAAAATGATGGATATGAGTTCTTGATTGCTGAATCTCGGTTTGATTTTTGGATAAAAGCATTGATGTTAAGGTATTAGGTGGATTTTGGCAACCAATCAAAATATCGAGTAAACTGGCTTAGGAAAACACATCGACTTGATGAAAACACAATTGTTGAAATCATTATTCATGTTCCAGACGATGCCTCTAATGCTGATGCTACCGATAACCCGCCGTTATTTTCAATTACAATATCGGTGATTGAGAGAAAGGTTGAAATCTCCCAGAAGTATACTCTTGTATGGAAAAATACAGAGTTTCCTAAACTAAAAAGTCTAGTAGATAGGCTTCAAGTTAATAACGAACTAGATGCTGATACGATTAGAGATGACTATGCTGATATTTTCCAAGAGTCAGAAGATGCCGAAAGTTTAAATTTATCATCGCTGGATCTTTCGGAAATCTTGTGGGACGTTTCACTTTTGTCCACCAACGAGAATACAACAAAGAGTGATCAACAAAAGGATAAATCTATTAAGTTCAAATCCAAAGTTAAAGGGTCAAATGAAGTACGTGTAAAACTATTATCAAGCCCAGTTTGTAAAAAGAAGAATATATCGAAGACAAAGGTGCCGACAACACCATCAGCAAACGTCGCTAAACAACAAATCATTAACATAAAAATATACAACAATGTGCGCAACGTGTGTCAAATTTCGAAAACGTTTTTGCACGTATCGATAAGGAGGCGGTGAACTTCGACGCCAAATTAAGTGCTCTTAGCGATACCCTTTTTCAAAGTTTGGCAAATAGAGTCCAAAATGAAATGTCAATTCTGAGGAAAGCTTTTGACGAAAAAGTTTTGCAATTGGAAGTCAAAAAATTGCAAGGACGCCTTGGATCCCTGGTTGAAGAGAAGAATCAATTAGTTTGGAAAAGTCAAATAAATCATTATCAGACCAAGTCGAAGAACTACAAAATAATATAAAAGATGATGCAGTGCAGAGAGAATCGGGACGTGTCGTTCAGAACGAGCTAAGCGCCAATGTAACGGACAGAAATGAACCCGAAGTCCTAATAACTAAAGAAGAAAGTGGTCCCATACCAACTAAAAAAGCCGATTCTTCAGAAAGCGGTGATTCCAACGAGCAAAGTGTTGAGAACCAAGGAGAAAAAAAGATGATTGATCAAGGAAGCACCTAAGAGTACGATTTTGTCTTTCTATGTGATTCCAATAGAAAATTCATCAACACAAAGCTGTTATGTCCTAACAGAACGGTAAAAATCACCCCTTGTGGTACTTCCAGTCAAGCAATTAAAATTATGTCTTCACCACGTTTCCAGGTAAACGAAGCGCTTATAATAAATACATCATTGTTTCGAGTGTTACTCCACGAGATGACGATTTCGATGAAGACATTCGGGCAATAAACCGAGCAATCCAAAGCGAAATTTTAAATTTCAATGATGTCATTTACGCGAACAATGATAACCTAAGAGACAGAGCCCTGTATTTTGACTGTAAGCACTTAAATAGAAATCGGGGTGTTCGTAAGTTTGCAGCGAACATAAAAAAAGCAATTAGAATGGCAAGCGGCGTTGTGGACAACAAGCCACGCTACCCATCCTATCATAGTGCTGATCCGCATCCGATCCGACCTGACGATCGTGCTCCATACCCTCACCCTCGTTATTCATCCTACCACAGTGATGATCCGCATCCGATCCGACCCGTGGATCGTGCTCCATATCCTCAACACCGTTATGGAAGCTCCGTAAATCCCCTACTAAGACCAGAAGATATGCGGAGAAAACAGGATGGTATTGCTACACAGCCTATCGAAGTCAGCAAAGAACACGAAACAAAAAAGGAAAATGGAATCAATGATGTCTTTTCCCAGCTAAGTACATTAAATAAACTAGTTAATGTTTTAGTGTCAAGTAACTTGCAGCGATGTAGAATGATGTATCCGCAGTCTACAGCTTCTCCATCTTTTTTTCCACTATATAGTTCGGCTGTTAGTTAGCCTTCCATACCTTAGTTCTGAAGGTGTTGCAAGTACATATACGTCTTTGGTTATTGTAAGAATTAGTTAATGCAGTTAAAAAAACTTTTAAAATTTTGTTCCTGGAATATTGAAGGACTTTTGGGAAAACTGGATGATGAGGAGTTTCTAACAACAATCAATTCTTTCGATTGCATTACTCTTGTTGAGAATTGGCTAAAAAATGATAGTACAGTAAATATACAAGGTTTTTATTCTTTTTCCAAGTGTAGGCAAAAACATGATAGAGCTTGGAGGAACTCGGGTGGTATAACTGTGTTGGTGGGATCAGAGTTGAGAAAAGGGATCAGATTTTTTGATAAAGAAAGTAATGAACAGTTTATTTGGTGGAAATTAGACAAAGATTTTTTTCACATGAAACGAGATTTGTTTATATGTAGTGTTTATATTCCTCCGCAAAACTCGCCTAGAGAACGTCGTCTAGATCGCGACCATTTTCAATCTCTTCAGGAAAATATTTACAAATTTTCAAAATTAGGGAGCATAATATTATGTGGCGATTTAAATGCTAGAATTGGTGATTTAGATGATTGTATAAAAAACACGTCAGTTTTAGAAGATTTTTTCCCATCTACCTGTCCTCCTAACGGTTCAATTGAAATTGAATCACGCAACTCCAAAGACAATCACTGTAATTCATATGGGAAACTATTGGCAGAGTTGTGTTGCGGGAATGATTTAATTCTGCTAAATGGTAGAACGAAGGGTGACTATATCGGTCAATTTACCTGTCAAACATATAATGGAGCTAGTGTGGTTGATTATACTATTGTTTCTTCAGAGGTCATGAGCGAAATTAAATATTTTACTGTCTCTGAAATCACACACTTCTCGCATCATTGTTTTCTTTCCTTCGGTTTAGAAACTGAATCTTATTTACCACTAAGGACAGAAAAAACTTTACAATTGTCGTCACTTCCTATGTCTTTTATGTGGAATGATGCTCTAAAAACTACTCTTAGGGAAAATCTCAGTAATACCTGCATTTTGAATGAAATGAATACTTTGTTTCAATCTCCACAAGATCAGGATGTGGATTCATTAGTGAATGAATTTACAAATATTATTATTAAAGTTTCGAAAAAGGTTATAAAAATTAAAAATAGACGATTTACTAAAAAGAAACAAAAAAGTACAATGCAAAATAAAAAATGGTTTGACAAGAGTTGCCACGTGTTAAAAAATGAACTACGAAACTTGGGTAGCTTGCTTTCAAGATTCCCTGATAATAATTTTTTACGACATAAATTTTTCAGTACAAAGAAGGAATACAAACGACTCGTCAAACGATTAAAAAGAAATTTTAAAAATGAAATGTTAAGCAAAATTCAATCTATGGAAGAATATAATCCAAAAGAGTTTTGGAAATTGGTAAAGTCTATAAAATCAAATAATTCCAATAGTATTGAGGATGAGATTTCACCCGCAGTATGGTACGATTATTTTAAAAATTTAAATGAGAAAAAAGTAACCACCGAAAATTCCAGAAACGAGACTCAATTTGTCAGAGATTACCGACTTTGGGCAGCTAAATCTGATATTTTTCAGTAAATGAAGTTTGCGCATTAGCAAAGAAGCTTAAGAACAAAAAGAGTAGTGCTGGAGACGTAATAAGCAATGAAATTATTAAAATTGCTGTGGAAATTCATGCTACTAACTTTGTTAAACTTTTTAATAATGTTTTATATCACGGAATTTGTCCTCGCATGTGGTCGGAAGGGTATATTGTACCTCTTTATAAATCAGGTTGTCGTTCTGATCCTGGAAACTACAGGGGAATATGTATCAGCAGTTGTTTAGGGAAATTTTTTACCTCAATTCTTAACTATCGTCTTAATACCTTCTTGGAAGAACACGAAATCTTGAATAAGAATCAAATTGGTTTTAGGTACGGATTTAGAACGTCCGATCATATACTTGTGCTAAAAACATTAATAGATTTCTATAAAATACATAAGAAACCATTATTCGCTTGTTTTATAGACTTTCGTAAGGCATATGATAGTGTATGGCGAGAGGGTTTGTTCTTCAAGCTTATCCAATATGGTTGTAGTAAGAATTTTGTACGTATATTACTAAGTATGTACTCTTCAGTTAATTATAAGGTCAAACTTTCTTCGGGAAGTACTCCAGTATTTTCGTCAAACATTGGTTTAAAACAGGGTTGCAACATGAGTCCATCTTTATTTAATGTCTTTATCAATGATATACCTGAATTACTAAATACTACAAATTGTGATCCGGTGTATCTAGGTACTACTAAGGTAAATTGTTTACTTTATGCTGATGATTTGGTTTTATTATCGAAGTCTCGATCAGGTTTACAGGAAAGTCTTGCGAAACTGCAAAGTTATGTAGAAAGGTGGAAGTTAGAGATCAATTTAAAAAAGTCTAAGGTTCTAATTTTTGGTAGTAAATCTCAAAGAAGCTTATATACCACCTCCAAGTGGTGTCTCGGCGGAGAATTGTTAGAATGTGTTGATGAATATGTCTACCTACGAATCACTTTCCATTATTCTGGTCGTTTTAAAGTAGCTCAAAAGTTGTTGTATAGTAAAGCTTTGGGGGCATACCACAGTATATTCAAAAACTTTTCAAATTTGGATAGTGTCCCATTTAAAGTACTTTTAAAACTTTTCTCGGCTCAGATTTCTCCGATATTGTTGTACTGCGTCGAAGTATGGGGAGTTCAATTACTAGGAAGTTTAACAAATATTGAAATGTTTAAGAAAAAGTTTTTTAGTACGATTTCGGATATTGAAAGGTTGCATAAAGTTTTGTAAACGGATTCTGGGAGTCCATTCCAAGTCTACCAAACTAGGAAGATACCCAATGATTCTCCAGGTTTCCACATTAGCCATCAAGTATTGGTTAAGAATAAATAGTCCAATGTATGAAAACCAGTTGGTGGGTAAAGCAGCACGTGTATGCATTCAATCATGTTGTCCGATTGCAAAATTCAATGATTTTTTGTTAGAGATGTGTAACTTTAATCCTTTAAAAAATACTACAATTTGGAAGAAGAGTGATATTAATAATGTAGTCAAAAGTATCAAAACGAGTTATGTGAAAGATTTAACATCATGTGGAAAGTTCAGATTCAACAACTCAGTACATTGCAAGTTTTCAATCTTGTAAAACCTAGTATAGAATTTGAAAGCTATTTATCTCAAGTTAAAATTGTGAAGCACCGTCAAGCAGTGACTAGGTTTAGGATATCCGCTCATAAGTTACCAATTGAAACTGGACGATATGCGAATATTGAACACGATTTACGTCTATGTCCAATTTGTAACTCGAATGAGATTGGGGACGAATATCACTACTTTTCACATTGTAGTAACAAAAGGTTAGAAAGACTGCGAGAAATTTTTTTAAATAAGTTAGTTGATTATAACAGCAAATTCAGCTTGTTGGGTACAAATAATTTATTTTTATACTGTGTGTCAATGAATGACAAAAACATTATTAATCCTACGGCCAAGTACATATACGAATTATGAATATTTTTTTAGATCTTGCCTGCATCTAGCTCTTCCTTGACTTGTCCTTGTTTAAATTTTGTCATTGTTGTAAATATTATTACTCTTGTTCTATTATGTTATTTTTATATAGCTAATAAACATTTGCTGTATTCGTTATATACCAGTACTGGTATTTTTGTTTGAATAAAGTTATTATTATTATTATTAATACTGTACAATGACCTAATGTGACTAATTTTAGACTTTTAGATAAACATAAAAGTGCGCGATTTTTTTACAATCATTAAAAAATTGTTGATTTTACGACCATCCACTCCACGATCGCTATAGAAACAATCGCCTAGAACATTACAACACTCAATAGCCAAGCTCTAATAAAGCGTATGGCATCTCGTAAAAGACAGTACCGACATCGCGTTCGGTGCGAAGAATGCAATAAGGAAATTGACAGTGATTATAAAGAGGTGCATTCTCGATTGGTTCACAATGGTAAAAAAGTAAAATGTCATCCAGTAATGGAATCATCGGATCTTCAAAGGAAAGCCTTTCATTTGTAGTCTTCTCAGATTATATAATTTTATGATGACGTCACGAAATCTATGACGTCATGTCATTCGGGCAAATTCAGCCCAGCCCCCCCCCCCAAAAAAAAAATGTGCCCGTACGCCTATGTTGTTAAGTCACGTTTATGATGCACGACAGCTTGTTGAATTTCCAAATTCCATAGAATTTCCATTTTAGACACCCTCTATAGGTATCTTTGTTCTTCGTGATTTTATTGAGTATTCAAAAAATCTACTATTAAAAGTCTAAACACGATATGACAAACACTCACAAGAACAAATACAACAACTGACAAACAGAACCTCAACTATATAACAACACTGATTAGCACAATTTGTAGAAGACCCAAACGTGAAACGGCCAAATTAAAGCACGAACGAGACACAAAGTCCCATGCAAAGTGCTCACCGGCACAATACAACATATAACAGACTCTACAATGTCAATGTTCAAAGACTGACAAGAAATAAACAGTACAGTATTTAAATTAGAAATTGTGGCAAGAGCAGTCAGGCACCAATGGCAATGTCCACGTGCATGACATGTCTATGTCAAATTTTGCCTCTAAAGACTAAACAGTGTTTGTACGTGTCCTTAATGTTTCTTTTAAAAGAGGCTGGTTGGAGGAAGCATTTTACAGGCGTAGTTCCATATTTTAACAATGTGGTTTAAGTAGGATGCTTGGAAAGTGACTTGATTTGCAGTATGGAGTTTTGAGAGTTAGGTAATGGCTGAGCCTTGTCCGACCATTGTACACAAACGAAACGAAGGTAAGCACATCGAGATCGATATTTCCATAAAGTACCTTGAAGAAGAACACCAAATCGGTTATTTCTCTTTCATAACAAAGGGGAAGTAAGTTTAGGGTTGTTAATCGCTGTTTACAATCTCTCCTCGCTTCGATTTCAGTATCCAAGCAGTAGCTCTTCTCTGGACACTTTCCACCTTAGATATTAGTTTGGTCAGGTATGTGGAGACCAGACCTCAGTAGCATAGCTTAGCTGAGACAGCATAGCTAACAAGCGTCAAGTACAGCGTCCGCCTCACAGTTGTGTTAGTCAAGAGGGGAAAAGTTCTTTTCAGAAGTCCAAGCATCTTGTTCCCTTTTGCGGTGATGATGAAAATATGGACATTCTATGAAAGCTTGCTGTTAATTAACGCAAACACCAAGATCTTTCTCTTTCTCTACACGCGATACTGCTTTCGAGTTCATTTGGTAGACATACGTCAACGGAGACTTTTTTCTTGTGATTGTCAGCACCTTACACTTGGATGAGTCAGTGAAATCAAGATTGTTGTCACGGCTCCAGCACTCAAGATTGGTTAGTGCTTGTTGTACTTTTTCACAATCAGCTATAGATCTAATCGAATTGTACACCTTGGTGTCGTCTGCATACATGGCTGCCATTTTCTCGTCGGGTAAGATGTCAGGAAGGTCATTAATAAAGATCACAAAGAGAACAGGACCAAGGATGCTTCATTGCGGCACACTAGATGTTACGGGTTCCCAATGCGATACAGCTCCATCAATAACCACTCCCTGACAACGACCATTGAGGTAATCAACAAACCATTATTTATACAACTGGCCTCTCACACCGTTTGATTTTAGCTTCTGCAGTAGGATTTGGTGGTCGACAGAGTCGAAAGCTTTGGCGAAATCTAAGTAGACAATGTCGATTTGGATATTTTTGTCGAGGAATTGTCCAATGGCGTGTAGAGCAGATAAGAACTGTGTGACGCATGATCGTTGTCTTAGAAACTTGTAGAAAGCCATGTTGTGATACCTTGATCAGGTGTCTAATATGGTCGTAAAATCGGAGGCACACACAACGTTCCAAAACTTTTCCAAGGATGGGCAGCAACGAAATCGGTCTGTAATTCTCGGCTGGTTCTATACGTTCCTTTTTATGAACGGGAGTGACATTAGCGGATTCCCATATATGACCAGTATCCAAAGAATGGTTGAACAGTTCACAGATGCTTGGTGCGATTTCGAGGTTACATGCTTGCAGAAGTTGAGATGGAATACCGTCGGGGCCGGTTGCTTTCGGAGTATCAAGGTAGCTCAAACATTGTGAAACGTCATCAACATCGAGCAATATCTCGGAAATTTGTCCCTCTGATTCCAAAAGGTCTGGGTAATCACTAGGAGCTGAACGGGTTGAGGGTGGATGGAATACCGAAGATTTTGTTCATACGGTATTTTTTCAGTGCTTTGTATTTTCTGCTGATTAATTGCGTACTTCTTTATCGACCCATGGCATGGGGGAGTGTTGGTGTCTTTGACCGTTTTCATTGGCACATACCTCTTCACTGCAGTCAGGAAAGCATATTTCCATATTGTTACCAGCAGTCATCAATATTATTTGTTGGAACAATACCTATAGGAAATTGTGTAAGATAACTACGCAGACTATCTAAGTTTCCGTTTTTGTAATCGAAAACCTGGCGATTAACTGGCGTAGCTCTTTTGAACTTAAGATGAATTTCAAGTTCCACAATGTAATGATCTGTTGGAAAACCACAAGACTCAGGATGGGATAGGGAAACGTCACCAATGATGTTGGGAGTGTTACATAACTGCAGGTCGAATATATTGCCAGCGATGTGGGTAGGGCTAAGAATGAATTGTTGTAGGAAGTTGTCTTCGACCATTTCGCACAGATGGTAGATTAAAGTCTCCTATCACTACAACTCGGCTGGATTCTGAACATCAGGCGTAGAGTTTGGAGGACGTTAGAACGTATAAAGCACGACTGGTTTGCTGTTTGATTTCATCAGTTCAATAACGACAATTTCGGTGTTTTCAGGTTCCAGGTCATGTCGACGAGTGACTTGTATACCAGTCTTCACAGCGACAAGAACACCACCACCAATTCTGCCAGCTCTATCACATCGGAAGACAGATCCATCATTAGGCAAGATCTCACTGCTTAAGATTGAATTGTTTAACCATAGACAATCCAAAGACAAAAGATGTCTTTTGGATTGTCTATGGTTTAACCAAGTCTCGCATACACATACAACGTATGTGTATGTGAGGACCGGCGTCCATTATTGCATAAGAACGTTCGTCCATTATTGCATTATTAATAAGAACGTCCATTATTGCATTAAACATGGTTCAATTAACCACTGAACAGACATATACACATAAATCATCTGAATTTGTAATGATAACGCTTTTGAATATTTATAGTGTTTAGCACTTTATAAATGAATAAATTATAAATTAATATTATTATATACACAGATTTATTACTAATAAATCAACACTATATGATAATATAGAACTCACAAAGTGTAGTCACCTTTTTATAGATAAACCTTTTTAAAACATATCAGTTGAAGACCTAGATTAGCCTGCCGACCCGAACACAATGCATTGTGGTAGACGAAACGATCGAGATCAGTTTCACCAAGGTTGCTGCCTCGCTCACTACAGCAGCAACTATTAAAATATTTAAGTTTGGAAATATAAGTTGGAGCTAAATTGTTCTAAACTTTACTGGCATACGGGAAGCAATATCTTGCAGTCGTCTATTCTCAAGTGTTCATAAGTTTGCCTTTTTCACCAAGTCATTGTAACTGGTGTTTCTAGGCAATAAACTATTTATTATTATTATTATTATTATTATTATTATTATCCAGTTTCGTTTATCACTTGCTCCACAGAAGTGCCAGATTAAATAATAGTATGTAAGATGAAGCAGAAGAGCAGTTTAATATAAAGTGATGATAATTTCGAATTAGTAGGTATCATGTTCCTGAGTTTTATTAATACCCCCTGCCTCGTCGCTTCAGTTTCGAATAGAGATCAGTGTGAGAACAATGGGCGTGCCGGGCTAATGGGAATGCGATGAAACAGTTAATACCCCTACTTGTTTACTGTTTTTGTGGTAGCCGTGCATGCGCAGCTAACCACTATGTGATAACCTGTAAAATGTCCGTGAGTTTCGTGTGCACAGTCACGTGACCACTACAAACAGATTGCTTCAAAAGAAAACAAATATGGCGGCTGCGATAAATGAAATATTTCAAAAATATTTTTTATTGAAATGGGTTAATGGAAATGAGTTCATCCTAAACAAAAGTAAACAAAAGTAAACAAAACTTGCATGACTGAATGAAATTTGAAAACCTTACGCGCGAGCGACGACTTGCGAAAAGCAAGAAATTTCGTCGATTGACGGTTTGTTTAATTTCTGGAGATGAATTAGCTAGTTTAGAGAGTCTATATTTTAAAAAATGTCTGAATAGGATGCAACCCCATCCCCAACAAGCTATCTGTATGAACGATTGAAAAGCTACAGAGCTATATTACTGGCAACAGCGCAACTTAACACAAGCTTGATTTGAAAAAGAAGAATTTGTCTTCAGTGGTTTAAAGATTATTTGCAGGAAAGAACTCAAATTGTAAAATATAAACATAGGTCAACTGAAATGAATGTTACTACAGGAGTTCCACAGGGTTCAATTCTTGGTCCATTGCTATTTCTTTTATACATCAACGACATCGAAAGCTGTAATGATATACTTTCGTTCGTATTATATGCAGATGATACGAATGCTTTCCATTCAAATCCGTGCTTGAAACCTTTGTATAATACAATAGAAAATGAAATGAATAAGGTTGTGAAATGGCTCAATGCCAATAAATTATCAATCAACGCTTCTAAGACAAAATTTGTAATTTTTAAATAAAAAATAAGTCTTTACTGAACACAGATAATACAATCAAAATAAATAATGATTTGGTTAAGCGAGTGACGTTTGTAAAGTTTCTAGGAGTTATAATTGACGAAGAGTTGACATGGAAGAACCACATCAGCTCAGTTCTGAAAACTATTATTAAATGTACAGGTCTGATGCTAAACTAAGACATTATACAAATAGAAACACTTTAAAATTGATTTACTACGCATTAGCTTATCCATACCTCACGTACGGGAATCTTGTTTGGGGAAATACATATCCCACAAGATTGCAAAAAATAATGAATGTACAAAAGAGAATTGTTCGATTAATTTGTTTTAAATCTTATTCGGATCATTCTGAACCATTATTTTTGGATCGATCTTGAAAATCTTGAATGTCTACAAAATTAATGATTATATCTATGTAGTATATTTATGTATCGATTCTTTTATTATCAAAATAATTTGCCGGATTTTTATTGTGATTATTTTAAACAAAATAGTGAATTACACAATTATAATACACGTAATTCCACCAAGTTACACGTGAACTTTCAAAGAACTAATTATCGCAAATATACTTTGTTTAACAAAGGGTTCTCGATATGGAATGGTCTCAATGAAAATATCAAAAATATCAAATCGTATTTCTCTTTTAAGAAAAAAATAAAATCATATTACTTACTATCTGCTTAATGCAAATACTGTAAATAAAGTCAACTTTTATCTCCTTATTCTTTTAACTATTTTTATGTAAATAATCGTAATATATACTGCCTTATTTGTCAACATTTTTAGTAGTTGTTACTTGTAATTGATTTTTCAAAACTAGGGGCCTTATCTAAAAGTCCAACAGGATTTCAAAAGGTTTCTAGCCCCCATGGCCATATATACTATTGTAAATATTCTAAATTACTTCGTAAATATCTTTTGTGGGAAAACAAATATATACATACATATACAAAAGAAGTTGGGAAATCTCTGACAAACTAATTGCAAAATATTGAGGAATGTTCACAGCAAAGACCACAATTCCAAAACTCAATACATTTACGGTTCTTTTCTGTAGATGAATTCAACTGTTATATAAACTGGTAACAGCGCAACTTTAATAACACGATTGCTTGATTTGAAAAGAAGTTGGGAAATCTCTGACAAACTAATTGCAAAATATTGAGGAATGTTCACAGCAAAGATCACAATCCCGAAATTCAATCAGATATTTACGGTTCTTTTGTATTTGAAAATCCAATACCCAATTCACCCATGCCCATGGGACCAAGATTTGAAGCATTTAAAAAAATATATTAATTTAAACATTTGTAGTATTTCAGTAATAATTTCATTATTTCGTTTAAACATCTGACTTTTATTCGGTATCATCAAACAACGCTGTGGACATAAAGGGCAGTCATCCACAATTTACTTTGCTTTAATAACTTAAAATACTCATTGATAATTCATAAACCTTGTGGCAAATCATGTCAGCCATAATATGTCACGTGGAGTGACTTTATATCTGATAAAACTCATCTTCATTAGTATTATTTATATAATTGTTCATCCTAATTAGTATGATTATATAATTGTTCATCCTAATTAGTATTCTTTTTAGTCGTATTTTAAGCTATTCAAAACACTCGTTGTCGTATTTTATCAGACATAAAACGCTCGGCTGCGCCTCGCGTTTTATATCTGATAAAACACTCCTACTCGTGTTTTAAATAGTACATAAAGACCAATAAATTTCTAGTTGTGTTGAAAATATGAAGTTGATTTTTGGCGGGCTGGGACCATAAAAGAGGGGTGTCTTACGTGTCTAACCACCATATATTCCCCCATGATATTTCCCACATCCAATGGTTGGAAATCCCCTACTTAATTAGGCTAAAGTAACAGTCAAAAGAGTAAAATTGACCCACATAACCCCACCTTTTCCCGAGGTTCGGGGATTACAGTTTATTGACAAGTAGGGGCGATCATGCATGCCTGATGTCTATTCAGTGTGTACAAATTGTTTTGACACATTAAAATACCTTGTAACTTCTTAGCTTAGATCTGTTTATATTGCTTATGGAAAAAAATATACGTAACAGTCGTTTATTTATTTTTTCCAAGTTTAATGTTTTGTATGTGATTAAATGTGTATTACCTTTAAACTGTGCCCAATTTACTTAATTTCAATAATTAATTCTGCTTTTGACAATAGTGATTTAATTAAAATTCCGATCTGTGGGCCCACAAGTTATAGATAGCTCATTACGCATTCAGAATATATCACGAACGAAAAATTGAACTACCAAAGCAAAAATTTAGCCCCAAAACAACAAATTTTAAATGGAAAATGCTAAGAAGCACTTCTTACAGAGGTCTGGACAAAATTTGACTGCAAGTTGTACAAATTGTGTCCATATCTTTGTATAAAGATGTGTTTGTCGTTTTGGAGCTAAATGTGTACAAATTTCAATCAAACTTTGTCCATACCACTGTAAGAAGTGCTTCTTAGCGTTTTCCATTTAAAATTTGTTGTTTTGGGGCTACATTTTTGCTTTAGTAGTTCAATTTGTCCTTCGTGATATATTCTGAATGCGTAATGAGCTAACTTGTGGGCCCACAGATAGGAATTTTAATTAAATTATCTATTGTTTGAAACAAAAAATGTAAACAAAACACGCGCATGAGCAGAACGGACTTGATAGCCTCTTTAAGTTAAAGGTAAAATCATCGATGTTGATTCTTGGTATAGTGGATTGTTTATGTCCAGGGGTCATGACCTGATATTTCTCTCTGATATCTTCTGTAGCAGATATGGCACTTTCTGTTAACTTAATTATAGCAGAAATCCAAAATATTATTACCAGTTTCATATATCTGATGATCGTCCGCATACAGATTTATATTTGACCTGATGTTGTTGACCAAATCATTCTGAAATATGTTCCACAGGAATGGTCCAAAGGCCGAGCCTTGAGGACGTCCTCTTAATTGCTAACTATTTCACCCTGTTGCAACGGTTATTAAAATAAGAGGTCAGCAGCTGAAGACTTTCTTTTTCAATCCCATATGCTTTGAGTTTGGCTAATATCAATGCCTGACTTACTTACTATCAGTAGAAAGTACGCTTACTATTTGATGATTGTTCAATGCCATTCCCCAATTTTCAGTGAGCGATATCAATGCAGTTTTACAGCTGTTATTTTCTATATGCCGTCAAATACTCGCACCATTTTCCAGCAAAGCTTCTATCTAGCTGCTGACTAAGTAGTTGTTCAAAAATCTTGTTCATAATTATTTGTTCATTGTTCGTTTTTTATCGATGGTTCTTTTTTTCCTGTGGATCATCTTTCTTATAAATTGGTATCCACTCAGCTTTTTTCCATTCTATTGGCCATTTACTGTTATCAGTACAAGCATTACAAAATGATATCAAAAGCCCAGAAAGTTGTTTTGCACCAAGCTTAAAAATATTTGGAGACATAGCATCCCAACCAGTACTCTTTTTTACATTGAAGTTCTTTAATGCATCTTCAACTTCAAACTGCTCTAAATTCTTAAAGCTTAAGTCTTCAGTGTTAGTTGGGTTGCTAATGATGTTCTGAATGGTTATGATTGTTTTAAAATGTCTCATCATCTGTTTGGTCTACATTTCCATTATTTATCAGTGATGATGGCACAATGTTCACATAGATAGTTGAAAATTCTATTTTGATGATTATATTTTGTTCCATCGATGTTCATACTCAAGTATTTGTTCAATTCGTATTTCTATTAGTTTGATAGAATTTACTAGGTCTCGACTTCAGCAAGCTAGATTGTTCCTTCCAGTAGTCTCTAATAGCTTTTCTTCGTAATCGTGTGGCATCATTCCTCGCCTTACGCATTATCTCCCAATTTTCCATTGTTTTCTGTTTTTAGTCTTTCTTTACCATTTTTCGTTTTATGCTGATGACAGTTTTCCATTCTTTGGTCATGTAAGGAGTATCCTGTGGCCTACTCTCGTCTTCTTTTCCAGAAGATGTTCATGTACAACACTCCACAACAACAGTTTCTGGAAAAATAAGGTTTGTCTTGAACTTCATCAAATATTTCAGCCACATGCCAAGGAGCATTGCTGAGATATTTCTCTTACGATTTATGTCGATTTTATATTAAACTCTTTCTCTGATCTAAATTTAATCATTTTTCCCTTTTGTAGTTTCACCTTTTCTTTGATAAACCCATAAACTAAGCATGATCACTCATTTCGCGATCAAAAACTCCACATTTTCCAAACAGTGTTGGATCATTGGTAAGAATAATGTCAATAAGGCTCTCTGCATGTAATAGTGTTTCGTTGCATCTGTATTCTAGTTGGTGAAGTTATTAGGCACTCATACATCAAAAGTTCACCCTCAGGGTACGTAGGTTTTAGCATATTCAGATTTAAATCCCCTGTCACAATAACATGCAGGCCGAGATTGTAATCTAGCCCAGTTACATATATGACTCAGTCCTCCTCTAGTACTTAGACATATTGTTCCTTTTAAAATCACACCACGACATTACTAACCTAAGCAGCGACATACTACCACATGCACCCTCAACGTATATCCGATAATTTCAGATTTCAGCATGTAAAACATCCACCTATCAAAAATCATACCTAATAAGGACTGCCAGAGTCTGGATCACACTGCCAAAGGATTTAACTATTAATGGCATGATAACTTTAAAGGAGTTTAGGAAGAAGTTATATAACTGTCATAAAACAGCATTAGATAAATGTTATGGCGTTGACGATCCACGAACATGGAAATCGGTTTGCATAAAATGCAACCAAGCTCGAGACCTGACTAGGCCGATAACGTGTTGTTTTTAATTATAAATTTTAGTTCAATGTTCAGAAGTACCTTTTCGCATTAGTTTTTATCTGTTGGCCTATTCAGGGCTTTGCTGAAGGTTTAGGATTGTGAGGGTTTGAAATGTCATCTGACTCAGTCAGCTTCCGAAAATGGAAGTGGCCATGTGGATCGCAATGAGAAAAGTAACTAATCTGATAGTTCGTATAGTAATTGACTAATTGTCTAACATTTAGGCATATGTCGAGAATTAAGTTCTTAACAACATTATAGTTCAACATTTAAAAACGCAGGATTTTAACTTTCTGTCATTTTGGAGATGGCCGCCTTGCCATATATAATAAATCATATTATTATATATCGATAGTCAAAGTCGCATTTTTCTAGTGTTTTATTGGTTGAGAGCATATCACGTGAGAGTGACGAAATTAGGCTGTCTCCCTCGCAACAGCGCGAGAGGGAGATAATACGTTATCGACCGGCGAATAACAAAAAAACTCACGTGCGCCATCACGTGAAGATGCGACCTTTGGCCATGCCTAGTAAGTAATTAAAACTTTCGCTTTAAGTAACTGCAGTGTAGCCAGTGTTTACTATAACGTTTTAACAATAAAATATTTCATGTATTTACGTTCATTTGTTCTTTAATTTGTTGTTTCTTTGACTATTCATATATAATAAAACACTTATTTACTGAGACCTCGGGAAAGCAGTGTGTTTTGTGGACCCTCGACCGTCGATCATCGACGGTCGAGGGTCCACAAAACACACTATTTCCCTCGGTCTCAGTAAATAAGTGATAATTATCGCAGCTTATTACATCAGTCTTACATTCTCAGATATAGATGACCATAGGCACCACTTGCAATGAAACTTATAAACAATCTTCAAAACTATTTTAGAATTTTCGAGAAAAATGTATCACATGGGAATGAAGAGAAACTGTTTACTAATATAGTCTAGGACCTGTATAGATGTTTGTATGCGTTTCATTTAGCACAGGTAATAGGGTAAATTGGGTAAAATGACCATGGCGGTCAACATGGCATATGTGCCAAAACCTGAATCCGGGGCGAAAGTCCTGAAAATGACCCCGCCCTGAAGCGGCAGTGCCGAGATAGCTCCAACTTCCGAAAACGAAAAGTGACAGCCTTTCTGAAGTGCTTATAGTGTTTAGAAGGGTTGCTTTTAGGAGTGGTCATTGAAAGAAAAAATTTGTCTAAGTATAATATTTTACAAGAAAATGACCATGCACCACCCCAGGTAAATTGCTAATTATGCATAAAATACCTAATATGCCTGGCAGAAATTAAATATTCTTATTTCCCCAAAAAAATTATCATGGGGTGAAAAACTATGCTCAATTTAATATAATTATTGTGGATTTCATAAGGATTGTCATTGTTTTCTTTAAATATAATACATTTTATTTCACTTACCCCCCACGAAAACACGATTTCAGCCATATTTTGCCGTCTTGTTTGCTTTTTATCGCCGAATCTGAAAAATATCATCCAGCCGTTGTACTTTTACATAATCATAAATGGCTGAAGAAGATTTCAAGGAAGGTTTCATCAAGTTTTGAAACAGTGCAGTGTATTTTATCTTCGATATTGTGTCCTTCGATATTTCGTCAAATTGCCGCCATTTTAATGGCTCGCCGCTTCTCTGCCCGATAAATGCCACTTCTTCGTTTTCATATGTATTTAGATTACATTATCCAAGAGTACTTCTTTGTAGAATAGTCCCAATCCAAAAATTGGAAATATTATTTGTACTTGGGAGGAAAAAACATCCCATAATAGTTGTCCTGTCAGAATTCAAAAGAAGTAATTTAAAAGTCACGCGCAAGTTCGTGAAAACACCTCGTGGGCTACTTGACAGGGGGGGGGGGTGAATATTTTCACGAAACGTTTGTTCGCCACCACAGCAACCTAACTAAATGTATTATATTTTTTGTATTTTTATAATTGATGATAAAAATACGCAAATATTTATTGTTTTTATCATAATCACAAATATACAATAAATATAATGTACTTAGTTAGGTTGCTGTGGCCTGTGGTGGCGAACAAACGTTTTGTGAAAATATTCACTCCCCCCTGTTATGTAACCCACGAGGTGTTTTCGCGAACTTGCGCGTAACTTTTAAATTACTTCTTTTGAATTCTGACAGGACAACTATTATGGGAGGTTTTCCCCCCAAATACAAATAATATTTCCAATTTTTGGATTGGGACTATTCTACAATGAAGTACTCTTGGATAATGTAATCAAAATACATATGAAAACGAAGAAGTGGCATTTATCTGGCAGAGAAGCGGCGAACCATTAAAATGGCGGCAATTTGACGAAGTATCGAAGACACAATATCTGTCAATATCGAAGATAAAATACACTGCACTGTTTCTAAAGTGGATGAAACCTTCTTTGAAATCTTCTTCAGGCATTTATGATTATGTAAAAGTACAATAACTGAATGATATTTGCGAGATTCGGCGATAAAAAGCAAACAAGCCGGCAAAATATGGCTGAAATCGTGTTTTCGTGGGGGGTAAGTGAAATAAAATGTATTATATTTAAAGAAAACAATGACAATCCTTATGATATCAACAATATTTATATTAAATTGAGCATAGTTTTTCACCCCCATGATAATTTTTTTTAGGAAATAAGAATATTTAATTTCTGCCAGGCATATTAGTTATTTTATGCATAATTAGCAATTTACCTGGGGTGGTGCATGGTCATTTTCTTGTAAAATATTATACTTAGACAAATTTTTCCTTCCAATGACCACCCCTAAAAGCAACCCTTCTAAACACTATAAGCACTTCAGAAAGGCTATCGCTTTTCCTTTTCAGAAGTTAGAGCTATGTCGACACTGCCGTTTCAGGGCGGGGTCATTTTCAGGACTTTCGTCCCGGATTCAGGTTTTGGCACATATGCCATGTTGACCGCCATGGTCATTTACCCTAAAACAGTTGAGATTA